TGTCACCCAGACCTCGAATCTTGGGGTTTATAGTTCGCTGGGAAGTCCATATAGGGACACTGACAGGGATCTCTTGCTGGTCCTACGGCGAAGATATGTTGTGAATCGTGTTCTGGCGAGTTTTGCAAGGACACCAAACCGCAGGAAGAAAGCTTAGGGGCTCAAAAAAGGAAGGTTGGCTGGGACACAAGCTCCTAGGGTAACACCGGAACAAAGGTCGCTCAAAAAAGTGGGTTTGTCATTTGCCAAATGGGGTTCCTGTGGCTTCCCTTTGGTTTCAAGCCCCAAAAGGGTTCCGAGCCGCACAAAGACACACCAGTTCAATATCCAGTCCCCCTCTTCTCGGGACCTCCCCGTTGGAGTATGTTGTTCCCTCAACAACGAGTGGACAAGCCCCATGGGAACTCTCGCCACAAATTCTCCCCCAAAAAAAGAAAACAAATACAACATGTTTTGCAGAGGAAGCTCCGGACACAGATGAGGAGTCTTGGGGATGGGACCCGACTTCCGGGATGGAAATTTCTGTCCCCATGGATTGCGCCAGGCGGCCGAAGAGGGACTGCCCCAGGGCGATGGTGAAGGCCCGGAAGAAGCGATGCTCGAAGAGTCGCATGCCCTGCACTGAAAATACGGCAGCAGGACACAAGCAGCAATCGCATCTCAGTCGGAACTGTGCGCAATCGGTACAGCAGCACAAGAACGTCTCTTCAACAACTTCAAGGAGGTGTTCGAGGCACGCACCAACATCAGTATACACAGAGGGAGCGGCGCAGTCAAATCCATCGCCATGAGAGAAGATACATCAAAACAAACTATCAAGAGCAACATTTCCATAGTGCACAAAATCAGGTCTGAGAACAACCCGGCTGACATACAGCATGCCACCAGTGAAGTCCTCAACAAGCACATGTATACGATTGGCCTCTAAGGCCACACACAACTCAGTTGCACACAGTCGATACCTCACCAGTCTACACAGTATGTTAAACACCAGTTGCGCGGGCCACATGTTTGCATCAATGCTGAGTCAACCGGCATACATTGTCGGGTAGGTACAGCCCCGGGCCTCTGAGCTACATTTGGGAAGTTTCTACATGACAATTTGAGTACATGTTCTCCGCATCGCTGCAGCGACTTGCTTGGTACAGTTTGCTATTTGTGGGATTGCAAACTCGAACATGCAGGGCCTCGAGAGCATCACTGGAGATACCCTGGTGCGGGAGACGTGCGACACTGAGAACATCTCGGATCTGGGGTGTGGAGTGCACGGTGAACCAGGAAACAATCTGTGCTTGGCACTGACGAAGGACCGATACAGATTAACACAGGATGAGGAACATCCATGGTTGGCTGCGAAAAGTCGCAACTGGGACAGATCGTGTCCAATATAAACCCTATGGACAGCGTCTTCACTCTCCTGAGCTAGCTGAGCACAGGATTGGTGTGTTGGTGTGTACAGCTTCGCACGAGATCTACCTTGCAACATTTAAGCTGGACATGAGCATGTGATTGAGCTGGTGGGACGTGGATGCATGTCCGGTTCAAACTGAGTGTACATCACGGTGCACTTGCAGCTCCACACGAACACTCCTACATGTTGTCAGATAAGGACATACACTATTGCATCACCTCGACCCCAGAAGGTCCTTGTACAATATTCGGCATTTGGGCAAATCAGTTTGGGCTTGTACATGGAAAGAACAATCCAAGGAGGCAGCAGTTCGGCTTGTACATGGAAAGTACAGTCCAAAGAGAGAGGCATCTCGGCCCCATGGAGAAGAACACACCGTTGTACAGTAAGCCCACATCACCTCCACTGCGATTGTACATCAAGGCCTTGAGCTTGCGCATGTCTAGCAGGAAACGGATTATACATTTTCCGTGCACACAGGTTTATCACGACAGCGGGTCCTTCAGGATAATGTGAATATGTATTTACATCATGTCTCATATTTTACATCAGTGTGATTTGTTAATATGTATTACATCAATCACATTTTAGCAAGAAAGTGAATATGTATGCATACGTAAGCACTTATCGTATTCAACTTGCAGCACGCAATGTCGCTTGCTTCCCCCCCAAATCCCGCCCCACCCCACTGCCTCCACCTCCCGCCCCAAACCCCAAAACACCACACAACAACCCAGAAAGCAAAAAACAAAAACAAAAACAGAACCCCCCCCCCCCCCCCGGAAACCCTGAAACACCAGACAACTGCAGGAAACCCCAGAAAACCACCAAAAAAGGCAGAAAAACCTAAAAACTGCCCAGAAAACTTCGGAAAACCCCAGAAAACAGAAACCCCGAAACCTAAGGAACCCCTCAGAAAACCCCCAGAACCCCCCGCCTTCTCCTTGGCGCGCTGGCGCCTCTCCTCCTTCACCGCGCGCCGCGCCGCCTCCGCCACCCCTCCGGCGGCACGGCCCACCGAGGCGCCGGTGATGGCGTGGAGGCCTGAAATCGGGGACTGGTGCCATGTGCGCCGGCTGGGCGGATGTGGGCTACCGTGTGATACTGTGTGCGACGGCCTGGGACTTTTTTGGTTTCGGCTGGAAGAGCTGGCAATACCCTCCCACCAGCTAACATGGGAGTGCACAGACCCCTGGAGCAAGACGGCTTTCCTTTCCATGTTAGTTGGCGGGAGGGGCACGAAAGTTTGAGCTGACAAAGGACACACTTGCAAGCGTTAACGCGATTAGCAATGGCCACTGGACGCGTGCCCTTTAGGGTGCCGTTTCCCCTGGTCGCATAGGTGACCTCCATTTGCTCTTTCGTCCCCGGGAAAAAATGAGAAAATCATTCCAGTAGTGATAGATTCCCTTTAAACCAACAGGGGAAGATAAAGGAATATCCTTAACCAATTGGAAGGTGATGGTCTCGTAGTCAACAGCCCTGTGGGCCAAGGCCATAGTCATTTAATGGTAACTGTATCAGGGCTGTCAACATTCCGTATGGGTCCATGCCCAGGCAAAAGGGGTGAATTGACCTTGCGGCACAGTTCTATTGCTCCAAGTTAACTTATCGAACTCCAAGTCCTCATGATTTGATATGTGATTCTCCGGCAGCGCCTTTTTGGGAGCAACCCTAGACAGGAACAGTCGACGCGGAAGGCCCTTGTTGGGTGATCCTGTTGTCTGAGGGACTTGTCCATGGTTTCAATACAGCAACAGACAAGGGGCACTAAAGTTTTCGCTGACAAAGCACGCCCTTGCACCTAAACGCGATGAGCAACCATACGGTTTTTGCCATATTTAGGACACGCGGACGCCCAAGACTGGGTTGGTTAAGTATATTTCCCCTGCAAAGGGTGGCTTTAAACATCGCCTTTGTGGGCAACATGGGAACCCTCCGATTCATCACGAGTTTCAGCTTCCCTCCAGTTGGTCCTTTGAATTGGCGGTGAGGTTAGGGATGGTTTCCCAGTTACCCTCTAGAACCAGGGCTTCATATCCAAGAGCAACTCATCCAAACCACCAACCTGATGGGTTACCGGAGTGTTGGTTGCTCACTTCCTCAAATTGCTTGGTGGTAAAGACCACCTTGGGTATGGACACTCACACATGGGGCCCCGCATTCAAAGGCCTTTCCCAAGGCCGAAAAATGTGTTCATCACTATGTCCATCAAGCACGCTGATCCTTGTAATAGAGGGATAGTCGCAAATAAAAGAGTAGTAATTGACCAAGCAGGGTCGCAGTGTTTTCTGCTTTCCTTGTTGTTCTAATACTTTTCTGGGCACCCTGCCAATGTGCTCCCTTCCCGGCAGTTGCCCAAAGCAGCGCCCCCGGAGTTGGTTGCGCAGCCCTCAAATCGAAACTTGAAATCTTTGGCTCCTTCTTGTTCCCGCCCCCCCCCAGGGCATCGCTTCACGGGTCGCTCCCCATCAAAATCAACCAGTGGCTCAAGTTTAACCAGTGCATTTCCATGGGAAGACAAGGGCACACATTTTGTGGTTGACTTTGACTCGGGTCCCTCGCGGGGAGAAGGACATGCCCTCCACTGAAAACTTCAGTTGCGACGGCCAATCCAACTCTTGGCTGAGTCCCGGGCTCATCTGCTGGAGCTTCTTGGCTAAGGCATGCCTACGCGACGCTCGCGCACGGAGCGTGGGGCCCAGGAAGTTCGAGGGCCGAAAATGCCACTTTTACACCGAGGGGGCGACCAAAAACGAGTATTTATTGGTTGCTCCTATCCTTGGTTGACGTTGGAAGGGGAGCAAAAATTTAAGTTTTCGCAGTTAAGTGGGGATTTCCCACTAAACCACAATAAGCAAAAACGTAACATGTTTCCCAACGACAACCATGTATCAGGACTTACGTTTCGGTTTTACGGGTACCCACAAAAAACCCGGTTGTGGTTGGAGTGACGATTCGGATCGGATCCACTCGGGCATTTGGGACACATGCGAAGCACACGCCGGCAGGCTTCGAAACACCGAGACCTCCCTCGACTCTGTGGGGGAAGCTGCTCCCCCGGGTTCGAGAAATACAAATTTGGATGTGCTGAGATCCCGTTTGAAAGGTCCATGTGTTAGACAGACCCTACTCCTTCAGCCGCGCGGGGTTTTTGAGACTTTGGGTTCCGTGAAGCCGACTTTCTCAGTGATAAGCTTGAGTAGATGTACGCATGCATATTCATAGTGTCACATCGAATCCGCAAAGTCGTTTAAGCCCACCTGGCCAAGTTCTGAAACATCGCAACCACCCCTTTTGCTGATGTTACGCTTCTTGGACTCGTTTATGTCAAACTTTGAGGTTCCATGTGTAAATTGATGGGAGGGTAATTTGAGGCAAACCACTCACAAACAGGACAAAACACAGACCAAAACCCAAGGGAGAATCTCGCGGATTCGCATTCATCAGCCCATTCTTTCAGCTTGTGGCAGCAACCATCTCACGCGACCCATATTTTGAGAAGCGCCCCTAACTTTTGGAGGGGTTCCCACCTTTTAAATCCCACTTTTTAAACAACTTTTGCAACCAAAAATCCGGCGTCCGTCAGACTCCCCTCACACATCGATCGATGCGTCTCGAAGGGCCTGGACAGCTTGATGGGCTGACCCAGCGGGTGGATGGACGGCCCTCTGCGGCCCCCGAGGTCTCCCTTGGAGCGCAGGCCTTCGGCTGAACCGGCGATTGGTTTCACTGCAGGGCTTGGATTCGACCATTTGTCTGTTGCCTGGGAGTTCTACCAGGCTTTACCTGCAACTAGGTTAAAGGAGGGTGATTTTGCGGGTGTAATCCCAGGGTGCAATAGGAAACCCCGTGGTTTGATCATGGGCTCAGCCATTCCGTGGAGTGCCAAGCTTCGGAGGAATGCTACTCAGGCTGGAGCAGGATTTCTGGTTTCATGGGTGATGTTGGGGGCGCGGTGTGGAATCCCCTGAAAAAGGTCGGGGGTAAAACGGGGGCTGCAAATCACCTGGGCAGCACAAACGCAACGGAGCTCCATGGCCTCAGCTGCGGAGGTTTGGTGGCCTTCTCTCCTGAGAGGTTCCTCTAAGACAATCCAACGGACTTCGGCTGGCGCGGTGAGGGGTCCATTTCTTGGAAACCTCCCAGCAAGGAAATTTGCTAATGGTGTGTTTTTTTCTTCTTAAGGGACCCCCTAAAATAGTAGTTTTCCTCTTGGTTTCCCTTTAAACCAGGAAGAGAACGGGTACCCCCACCAAACAGACGAGCCCAGAGCCAGCGCCCCACCCCGCCCCGCGCTCGACTTGTCTCGCCGCCTTTGGCTGTGGCGTTGAAGATGCCGCTGCCCTCTACACCATAAGCCTCGTCCTGCACTCCACCCCCCTGACAGTTTTGAGAGGGAAACCCACAAAGAGGGACGAGTTGCTTGGAATTCACAAGGGGTCGCACAGACTTGCTATGGTTGGGTTACACTATTTACTGGGCCCCAGTTCACATGCGGAGGGGTCCTTGTACCAAGTCATCCGGAAAGCAAGGGCACAACGTGTGTTCGGCGCAGAACCAAGCGTCGCGTCGCAAAGGTTCTCTGAGTGGCAAAGCTTGCTGGTGCTCAGTAGAAATGACTCAGAGTGTTGGGAATGAACCTAGGGATTCCCTCAAAGGAAACCCTAAAAAATGGTTTCTAGGGGTCATTCTCTCATTCCCTGCTGAGAAATAGCCAGAAAACTCCTTCTGCGAAACCCTACACACTTTTCTCCCCGAAGGCCAACGCTAGGTCGCAAAGAGCTTTCTGAGGCGATGCAAAAAGCCTCTGAGGGGAATTGAGCGAAGGGGATTGGCCTTCCCGCTGACTCCGTTGGTGCCCTGACATTGTGGGAGATTGCCCTTGTGATATGTGGGATTCCCGTTGCGACGGGGATTCTCGTGGTGTCCCAAAAACAACGGAAACTGGGAATCCCGTTTTGAACGACGATGCCCAAGTGCCTAAGCCTAGACATGTTTGTGACGACTCACATGGCCCAAATACCCGGGTGCCACGGACCAAAGATTCAAGACACCGAATGGGCGCCCTTTCCACTCCCTAGGCAATGGGCTCCCTTGCACCAATGACTCCAAGAGGAAACGTATCGAGCTTCAACTAAGTGATGTCAAGGCTGACTAAGCGGAACTCGAGTCCTCTCAAACTCGGAGTGGCCTCTTTGAACTGGAGAAACGAAGCAGCATCAAACGAATAAGCACAGGGCGTGGGAACCTCCTGGAACCCAATCTCTGCAAGCCTCCCTGAATGATGCTCCAAAACCACCCCGAACGAGCTTATCTGGGCCTATCGACCCCGTAGCTTTCAGCTCTTGGGGAAAAACACTCTACAAAGGACCCCCAACAAAACGAGAGAGTTTGGGTCGCTGGCCGGGTAGTATGTAGAGCAACCAGCTGCGTAAAACCTCCAGGCACTGCTCCAAAAAGGCAGAGCTCCATTGTGGGAAGTTGTAAACATGGTTTCTACCTGAGCTTTTGTCCCGCCCCGAATTTTAATAGTTGGTCCATATTGAATGAACCCCACCAAACGTAAAATTACCCATCTTGGGGGTTCCCGTCTTTTGAGACGAACCCATTTTTTTCACCAAACCTCCGTTTGCTTCTTCGCCCCTGGAAAAAAACCAGAAAAAAAAAACATGTCCAGTGAAGTCGATTCCTTTTAAAACCAACAAGGGAAACTTAAAGGTAAATGTCTTAAGCAAATGTAGGCCAGACATATATGGGTGTGTCATTTTTTCGGGGACCCCAACAATGGTTTAGGTGTCCTTCTGGGAAAACAATATCCATTTCAAACACATGGAAGTCATGTTGGTTCCCTTTTCTTCCATTCCAGTAGTGATGGATTCCCCGAGAAAAAAAACGACAAAAACTGTTCAGCAAATGGAAACAACACTCTGAAAATTGACCATTTCGAAGGCAACTCCCGCGAAAAGACCAGTGTCCATCCGGCGCCTCGGACTCAGTCTCGGAGTCAATCTTGGCGACGAGGTCCGGTGTCATCACATCCTAACGCAGGGCTTCTGCCTTTGTTGGCTTTTTCTTTAGCTTTGTTCTTTGTGCGTTATGTTTACTCTGTTGCAGTTTTCAGTGTGTTTTTTGTGTTTAGTGCTATATTTGAGCTTCTTTTCTTCGGGGGGGGGGAAGTGACCCTTTCTGGGTCCAGAAGTCATCTCTATATAAGGAGCCTGCATCACGGAGCTCGAATCGGAGAGCTCGCCGTAATTTGTCCAGTTGGAGTGCATGTTTTTCAGGCTCGGTGCCCTGTTCACCTTACATTTGAGGAAAACCAACGGAAAACCGAAGTGAGTTTAGGGTCCAAATGCCTATTCTGACACATGGTAGTATGCCATAAGAGAATAAATAAGTACCAATGGTCAACTGCCGCAATCATGACTAAACTTGGTTTTAAGGTACCCCATACACCCCATTCTAACCATTGATGTAGGCCCTTCCAAAACCTGAATTGAGAATTGAACCCCGAGCAAAGGACCTACATCATGCTTGTTTAACTCCCGGGTGAGCTCGCCATGGAATAGGCAGATATAGTACCAGGTTCCAATGAATCGCATTCTAATTTATGTACGCCCTTCTCAAAGAAAGCTATTTGCAAAACTTCCGTCATGCGCACAGTTGCAAAAAGCAGTTGGATGAGTGTAACCCTTTCAAAGGGTATTACCAGCATGAGCCTAAATCCAAACATCCAATGGAAGGACCCAGGTGCAGCTAGAATTACTTTCTGGTGGGCCACACTTAGGGGTGGGGATTCGCGTCCGTGTGCCTCATTAAAACTGCGTGTCAAATGCTTGCCAAGTCATCACACCATTTAGCAAGGTTAATGCACGATTACGTGTAGCTGGCTGCAGACTACCATGGAGGTGGAGACGATTCCGAATATTCGCCCATGAAGGTGGATCAGATCAAAGGAAAGAAAGGCCAGAAGGGGCAAGGCAAAGGATCGCTTTGTGGTCCGTGTCCTTCCTTTCCCTTCAAACCAAACTCAAAAAGGGTACCGCGCCTCAAAAAAGACACCCTCATATCACGGTTTGGAAGACCACTTTCCTTTGGGCAGTTTCCCCACCTGTCCGCTTCCATGATGGAAAGAGGGCATACTTACTCACTTCCCGAGTAGATTGGCCAGAAAAAGCACCCAGACTTTTGTTTACCGCAAAATGGTTCTCCTACCCAAAAAGTGGCTCAAGTCCAAACCGGAACTCAGGGAGTAAGGTCGTGACCATTATTTTCATGAACATTTAGGTCCCTTTCTGTTTACTTTAGGGGGTTTCCCCCCTTGTCCACTTCTATGGAAAGAAGGTATACCTAATGTGTAACCAACTGATGACGATTGGACACTGGGGGGTGGAATAGGAGCACTGGAGCCCTAGAAGTGTGCTGCTAAAGTGAGTTGACTCGGTATGGGCTCGGTATGGCCTTGTCTTTTTTGCAGTTGGCACCCATTTTTGCGCTAACATAGCAGATGGGAGAGGGTACCTGGAAGATCATGCTCCTCTTGTAGGGACCGGGTCCCTGTCAGGTGTCATGGAAACGTGGGAGTTAGGGTACCCCTTTTTGAAGCAGGAAAACCAGAAGCCTCCATTTGCTTAAGCTCCCAGGAAACAAAAAAAACACTCAGTATTAATAGATTCCCTTTAAGACCAACAGGGAAAATAAAACACATTCTTTAGCAAATCCTTTAAAACCAACAAGGGAAGGCAGGATTAAGCACATGAAAGGGTATAAACCCATATTCTTCAGCCAATGGAAGGAAGGAACACCCCAGTTGGGGGTCCAAGCTCTCTCATCCGGGCAAGGGGCTGTGAGGCGCATCACCACCAGCCTGGACTTGAGGAAACGCTCCACCTGAGGTCCAGGCGAGCAATTTTTGGCTCGCTTCGAGGAGATGGCCGGGCTAAATGGCTGTGGTGGTCAAAACCAATGGGATCCCATTTTGGGAAAATAGATGGGTTTCGCTGGTAGATGATAAAACCACCAGGTACACCAGGAATCGCCATCTATGTTTCGACCAAAACAGCCAAAAAGGACACCTATGGTCAAAACCAATGGGATCCCATTTTGTGGTTTTCGGTGCACCACCCATTTTAGAACCTATTTTAGTGGGGATTGGGATGTTCACTGGGGGTACGGGATGTTGACCCATGGCCAAATGTGTTCCTGGGTTTCCGAACCCACAATTTAGGACACCCAAATAGGTGGTGGGTGAGGGTTCAGGGTGAGCTTAGGTATCTACACCCACGTCGGCTTCGGTATCCTCAAAACAAGACACCCAAATAGGTCTGGTCATAAAACAAACAAGGCTTTTGGTTGTTTCCTTTTCAGACAACTCAGCATCATGGCGAGTTCGTGCTCTTTCTCTCGACTTGACATGCAGAAAAAGAGACAGGACGCCGTGTTCGCCGAACGGTGACAGACCCATCCAAGGGTCCAAGGGGTGATCTTTTGAACTTCAGCCCCCCAAGCGGTTGGTTCTTCTGAGAACTTTGGCCTTCAAAACATCCAAAGGCTTTTTCTGCCCAACTGGCCAAAGGGCAACGAAGGCTTGAAGAGGGGGAAACTTGACCCCCCCCAAAGGGTTCTTTTTGACATGTTCTGAGAAACCATTTTGGGGGGTGGGTCCTGATGTCTCTCCTGATTGAAGGATTGAAGGACATGTTTCCTCCCCACATGTTTCTTGACTTGTCCTGTGGTTGCCGAATACCACGGTTCCACAGCCTTTGGTCCAAGCCCAAACTCCTTCTTTGTATCTGATCTGATGCAAGGTGGGTTTAGTGCTGGGTGGGTTTAGGGCTGGTTTAGGGTGGGTTGCAGGTTTCTGTAAAAGGGTCAAGGGCGGGGGTGTCCTTCTGCCAAGCGTGGAAGTCCTTTGAAGGTATATGCCGCGAAATTGAAGCGGATAACCGAAACAAAGCGGCTGTGGGGTTCTATTGTCGCGGCATTTAAAGGCTGTGATTCTGTGTGAGGCGCTGTGTCAGCAAATGTTTTGCCTGAAACCAGCTGGATGAGCGTAAAAAGGGGCCTTCTGTATCTATCTTGGATCTCCGAAATGGACATTTACTGCCAAGCGAGATGCCTCATATCCCAACAAGGGGCCGCCAAAAATTGCCGGCGTCCTTTTGGCTGTCCTCATCCCCTGCTCTTTTGGTATCTATTATATTTGGTGGATCCCGCACAAGCGGTTTCCATCCAAGTCGCACTGTGACCAGGGGGCTGTCCCAGTTTAGAGGAGATCCTCAATTTTCGGATAAAACTGAAAAAACATCACACATCCCGCGTGAATTGGCCAAACAAGTCCAAGGATTGAAAACCCCAATGGTCTTCCCCATTCCAAAAGTCCCAAAGACTCGTGAATTGCGTACTACAAGTGGCAACATCATTATTTAGAATGGGGCAGTGAAGTTCTTTGGAGCCACATTTCGGCCACAATTGTAGTATGCCTGAGTTGTTTAGGTCCGGTCCTTTGTCTTAATCCACCAAGAAAGCATCCTTCGCATAGGTGTCCTTTTACAAATAGATGGCCCTGGTGGATGACTAAACCACCAGGTGAACCAGGACTCGCCCTCGATTTTTGTCCACAACCAACAAAAGGACACCAATGGAATCCCTCGGCCCGACGGAAGCGCTCCGCCTCCGAGTCCAGCAGCGCTTCCAAGTCCTGGCCCCGCTGCATGCAGATGGAGCGCAGCGTTTGCCTGGCGTGGCCAGAAGCTCGAAGGAAGCCCAAAGGAGGCAGCTGACTTGGAACCTGCACCTTTTTGTGGCTGTGTTTCTTTCTGGTTTTACGGGGCACCTCTCCTCTCTCTGGTCTTATAAAGGGAAGCCAAATGAGTCATCAAAACCTGGTAACTAGAATGGCCGTAATCCCAGAACCATGCTTCAAGGATTAAGCCGGACATCCGCAGACAATTCTTGGGATCCTCCCTAACCTTCGGGCCGGGTTTTGGGATCTGCGAAACCCGAGGCTGGCCGTGCAAGACAGGGGCCACTTTCGGATTTCCCCCAACCGGGATCCTTAGATTCTACACCTGAACATTGCAACTTGTACATGGTGGTGTCCCTTTATTGTGGTGGAAAATGCCATGTTTCAAATGGTTGCAAAATGTATCTTTTAAGGATCCCTGCCCAATCAAGAGCTTACGCATGGTGTCCGTCGAAACGATCGAAAACCAGTTTTTGGAGGATCCGCAACGGGACATCGCGTGAAATGTCAGTTGTTCACTGTGAAAAAAAATCACTTGTTCAGTGATGTTGTCTACTGTTAGACGAAAATTGGCTAAAAAGCCAGAAATAGAGAAAGGAGACCTCTGAGGGATTACTATGACTTTCAGATGGTCCAACTGGGTGGTTTGTCTTTGATTTTGGTAAACCCCCCCCTTTTGGTGTTGTTTAAATGTTAAGGGAAACCAAAAGGACAACTGGCGCTTTTGATGAGGTCCCCGCAAAAAAGACACCTTCATATTTACAAACATCCACTACTCTCTGAGACAAATAAATGGCTCAACCTGTGCAAAAAGCTTCACTTGTTGGAGTCGTTAACGACTCAGCCAAACTTTACCTCCCAAGATGGACCTCCCCCCTGCCCCAAACCACGTAGACACCCGGAAAGAAGCGGAGTTACATATGAATCAGTGCTATATAGTGCGAGTTCCTATTCCTACTGATTCAATTTGTGTCGGGATTTTTGAGTGGATACCCGTCAATTCCCACTCCCCGTCGACAGAAACATTATTGAAAAGATGGAAACAACTGGAACCATCAACTCTTTCATTTTTTGTCGGTTTTCTTTGAGATACCCTCTCTCCCACTAAAATGGCAACTGACAGGGACCCCCTCCCTCCAAGAGGAAACTCATCTTCCAGCTGCCCTCCCCCTGCCATGGCGTTGCTGAGAGGAGGAGTAGCTCAAACAAAACCGGACAAAAAACAAAATGAAACACATTTGTAGGTTCCCACTTGTTTTTCGTGTTTACCGTGCTCCCTTTTTAAAGGGGCTGGGTTTCACGGATATTTGTCAAGGACCCACCGCTGGCTGCGCGATCTGCTCGCTTTCCTCCGATCCGGGGCCCCTGCTGCAGCTGCCCGGCGAAGGGCCGGCAGCGCGGCACCAGCTGCGTGGTGAGGCGCTCGAGGCCCGTGAAGTGGTGCGCGTGGCCTGGGACTCGATTTCCGATCCAGTGCTCAGTCGGATCCGGAGGCCGGAGGCCCGGTTTGGAGCGGTCCAGTTCAAGGGGTGATTCCAGTGATCGGCTTGGGGGTGGTGTCATCTTCTTTGGGATTCCACTTTTGGAGTGGTGGAACCAGACATACCCATATGGGTGTGTCTCAAATATTTGGGGAATCCACCCCGTGGACGGTTTATCCTTTTGCTTGCACTTCAAAACCATTTTCCCTGTACCCTCGAACTTCCCATAAAAATGATTCCCCCAACATTCTAAGACGCTGTCCCTTTTGTGTGAACGGGTCACTTGAGGGTCCCAGTGGATTTGGCTTCAAACCCCCCGTCAGGCACTGTACAGGGAACCCGGGACCCGTTCTCCATACGGACCCCTTGGGTATATAGGTAAACCAAAATTTGGTCTTGATTATAGGAATAAAAAACTATCAGGAATTGTGTCGGTCCAGTTTTTTGTGGCGGTGTGAATTGCAATTCGAGACCCTCTGGTGGACACAATGTAAGTGTGGATTTATGTCCACCAAGCATTTGGGAGGGTGAATCCTATTAAACAAATTGCATACTACAGAGGTAACCAAGTACAAATTGGACCTTCATCAAATGGTTGGTTTGGAGGTGTTCCCCCAAACTCAGCATAGGCTGCCTGAGACGGAGAGAGACCCGCTTCCAAAAAGCATGCTTGATTCAGGTCCATATTTGTCCGAATCTTGAAACGTACATTAATGTTGAAACTTTTGTTGCCCCGATTCTGAACGTTGGTCCGGGAACCGAGCAACCACAACCAAGAGCCGAAGCGCGTCTCGTCGTTTTCAAGGGAAACCAAGGGGACACCAACCAGTGTCCCAAATCATGGGAGGTGCCCGACTCGAAAATCCCGTCTCCCAAAACTGGTCCCAAGCAAACTTGGGGAGAAACAGTCTCAACTACAATTCTGCACAAGGGAAGATATGGACATGGGTCAAAAGCCCGTACCCCCAATGAACATCCCAATCCCAACTAAAATAGACCAAAATGGGTAGTGCACCTACCCCAAAATGGGATTCCATTGGTTTTGACCCACAGCCATATGGGCTATACTTCCACAAGCAAATGGCTATACGAAATTCGCCATGGTGGGGAAAACTGGCAGAGCACCCGTACCTTTCTTGGACATTCAAGAAACAAAAAACAAGGCGACACCAGGCAAATGTCAAAGGCTGAATATATGAACCTAGGCGTCAACCTCAGCTTTGTTGCTGCACCATGCACTCATCCCGGCAAAACGGCGGGAAACGAGCAACTATAGGGGTCGAACCTCGATTCCAAGTTCATGTATAAGCCAACAAACCCACAAAAACGCAAACGGCTCAAACAAGCTCGAAACAACTGAAACATCACAAAACTGAAACACTCGCGAGTCCAAATTGCATATGTAGCAGGTCCAGACTCAAAACGTGACAAAAGTCCGAAACGGAACTCAGGGAGTGAGAACCAATCCTTTGGTTTAAACCAGCCCCATTATTTTAACATTCTCAAAGTCACCCCGAAAGTGGTAGGTTGAAGGGATTCCACCCTAGTTTCTGACTTGGATAACCCCCAGAAACAGTCAACATAATGACCCATTGAAACCATTGAAACCCATACAACTCAAAAGCAGGCGCTTGCGTCACGATCCGCGGCATTGCCGTCGGGCGTCAGCAGGCAGCGTGCCGCAAACGGAACTGGCCGTCGCCTGGCGTCAAGAGTGGTTCACGTATGGAGGTATCTTAAAATGCCGAAGCCCCTGTCTGGACTGGACAGAACCAATGACTTGCGAGTTTCTCAACATGGATTTTGGACCCCTTTTGGTATTTCCAAGGGACGTCAAGCGGAAACCAACCATTTCATGGGCCTCTAGTTTGGGAAACCACAGGTCAAGACTTGTTAAATTGTAGTGACGGTCGGAATCAACAGTCAAGGCCTATTTTAGAGAGAAAAGCTCATGTGGGCTCAAATTCTGTTTCGTGAGGGTGTAGTTTCTCCGTTTTAGACAACAATACTGATTTGAGTGCATCCAACAATTAAATTTGGGTGTTATTCTGAGGCTTTAAAAGGGGAGCCGGTTTAAGGGAACCAAACGGGAAACAAGGAATCTTTGTTGAGATTACAACCGCAGGTGAAAACACATGAACCCTGTGTTTGGGGTTGCTCAGCTTCTATTCTGGAATATGGCAGTTGTCAAAACACACCCACATTTGACCCGAATCTCCTTTTGGACCCTTTTTTCTGGGCTGCCCTCAGATTCTAAAAGTGAGTATAACTTTTGGTGGGTTAAATTCGGCAACTACAAAAAGAAAGCAACTAAAAGGCTAAGGAAGCGGACGGCTGGAAGCCACCAAGTCTTGATGTTGTTTTGCCGAAAAGTGCGGCTTCTCCGGAACCAGTGTCTTTTTTCTTTTCTGGACACATCTGGGTGTGGCTCAAATTTAAGAGGTAGGGTTACGCAGGTTTTGGTGTTTGCTTCCATTTACCTGGGGGTCGTTTTGGGTACACTTTTTCTTGGTTGACGTTGGGCTGGGGAGCAAAAAAATAAACGAATTTTAGCAGTTCAGTGGATTTGGATTTCAACCACTAAACCACAATAAGCAAGAATGAAATGGGCAAAAGCCGTTTCCCAACGACAACCATGGGAACATCAACGGGCTTCCGGAAAACTCGCCAAATCAAGTGGCAACTGGAAAAACCAGGGAAACCATTTGTGGACATTTGTGGGAAAGGCGCCATGTGTTTGAGCCATTGAGCCACAGGGCTCGAAGCGGGACCGTTGTTCCCCGGTTCCCCGCGCCTGCCGCGGGCCCGCGTGAGATCGGGGTTCCCTTGGCGCCAATTCACGAACCAAGGGCTGTGGCTCAAAATTGAACGGCTGGGATCACGCAGGTTGTAGTCTTTGTTCCCATCCAGGGTGCCATTTTTGGGGGGGGATTCATTCCACTTTTCGAGCCACTGCGATTGGCGCATCATGCACACTGAAATCAACAAAAAAAGCCAGCAGAAATCTTCAATCAAGGCCGCGGGGCGGCCCCTGAGAATCTTTTCTTCGGACTAATCCGGGCCCTACTAATCAGGGGCGGTTCCCCTTCTAGCAAGGAAATGATATCTTCTTTGGGGGATGCCTCAAGGGTCCCCCTCGTTACAATCCAGGGTTGGACAACTTCTTTAAACCGACCAACCCCTGGACACATAAAATGGGAAACTGCAAGGAGGTTCAACCAAACATCACCAGGAGCCAAAAGGAGGTTGATTGAACATTGTGGTTCAAACTTGTTTAAGCCAGGGTCACTGGATTCCCGCTCCTTCGGTTGCAGTTTACTGGTGGTTTCCATGGAAATTGCTACTGTTGGAGGTTCTGACATACGGACAAAAGGACGACCGAAACGACGGCGCTTGGGACAAGGCTAAGACCTCCAATCGCTTTCCGAGACACGCTGCCCTCACGCCCCTCCTTCGCCTAGTCGAAACTCGCGCGCGAAACATCGAGACACGGCGGCCGTGACGAAGCCAGATGCAAGGTACAGAGGATAAAACCTCGGGAGACCAAAAAACAAACTACCATGCGGGTCCTGAAAGGAGCCGCGGCCAAGAAAAAAACAACTTCAGTCATCACACACATGCATTGTGCTCGTATTTATTTTTGTATGTCTTGGGTTCGCACACTCACCCCAAAATACCAGCTTGGCCAATGAAACAAGTGATATTTATTTTGGCAACGTAATGAACCCAGCACCTTCTTAAGGAGTCTCCACTTTTGAAACAGAGGTCCCCATTTTTCATGTGTACTTTTGAGGGCACATTCAGGAACTCATGGGACCAGCTCGACACAGAATCTCACACGTTCGACCAAAAACGAGACCTAGGCCAAACAGCTTGTATTCCTGACTTGGTGAGTTGACAAGGCTTTATGGAAAGAATGAAGACATCTACCAGCATCATGTTGACGAACTGAGCATGCAAACAAATCAAATGGCAGTCTTGCCTTAAGTGGACCGAACGCCAGTAACAAGCAGGCTCACACATCAACTTTGAACAAAGCATAGTGAAACAAGGGAAGAACTAAGCAATGGTGAATCATTATCATCTTCCCTGGTGTCCTTCCTGTGCTACAGGTTCTGCGACCCGCAAAACCCAATTCGCCGAATAGGGGCCACCATACCAAGCAAAACCCGAACGAAGGAGCACGTGACTGCGTCGCTTTCTTCTTCCTTGAGGCAGGGCATACCAACCATAACAGCCATGAAAAAAACAACATGGACCCCGTTGCCATAACCAAAACAACAAGCGAGGTCAAAGGGAAACCAAAGAGTTCGCTGTCTGAGCTACAAGAATGACGGATCGATTCGCCTTGAGCAACTCAGAGCTTGCAGTTGGATACTGGCACAGCCTCTTCTGAAAACCTGTCAGGTTCCACAGCGCAAAAAAGGGGAGTGGGGGCTCGGCCAAACCTACGCATTTGGTGCTGGAAAGGCAAGATGAAGAACAAACATAAGTCAACAAGTTGAAAAAGGTAACTCTGTATCTGTGTGTTTGAAGGCTCCAGAAAAAAAAGAAGGAAACAACCAACGTGTGGGTGGCTTCCTTGGAAATTCCAATATATGGGCCCTTGTGTTTAGCCAAGCCTTTCTGGCAAGGGGTTGGGCATCAGGCCCGTTGGGATTCCCTCGCGGCGCTCGCGCCTCCTCCTGCCGACTCTCATGCTTCGCATCCTTGGACGTGGCCGGTTCCAGCGATTCCACTTCCCTACCCTTCCCACGAATTTAAGGCACCGCAAAAAACTACCTCTTGACGCCCGGTCAGGTGCCAACGTGGGAGGACAACCAAGGGAACCGCTTAGGCAACCAAGACATTCCCTTCAACTCACGCAAGTCTCTAAAGCGGTCTTCGCAAAAAGCGCAAGTATACAAAGCCGTGAATTCCGGAAGTCAAAACGCCTGAGATCCACTGGGGCAAAAATTCCCATGGTCAAGGCGAGTAGGCACCGAGCTGACTTGTGGCTCTACCAAGATGGCTACAAAGGATTCTTGTCAGCTTGACTCTGACTCCAAATCAGCCAGTAGAACCACCTAGCTAAATGGCTCTTTGGGGATTTGGGCGCTATGTCACTTCCCATCATACCATTCATGGTCGTTGGCTAGTGTCAAAAGTGCCAAGAGGGCGCTTGAAAGCGCACCCTCTGACTCCCCAACAATGGGGCCTGTCCCTCTAGATAGCTCCGGGATAAGGGAAACCAAAGACCCTGATAAGGGAAGCCAAAGAAGGTTGTCAAAATCGGGGACCCGTAAAATGGTTGGTTTCCCTTTTGTATACCTTCAAAAGACCCTCAACAAATCCCAGCCCCAATTTTGAGGTTGAGACAGTTCTGTGGTTGAAACCATGGGTTTGTTTGCACACGCAACAAAAAACACTGGAGCCTCTATCGCATGGAACCCGCTGGTCGGAATGCTTGAGTCATGTGACTTGGTCTTTTCAAGCTTTCGTCCGGGCACGCCGGCCGTGAGCCAGCCCGGTGCTTCCGGAAAACAACAAACATGCCTCAAGGCCTTGGGTATGGGGCATAGGGGATCCCCTAAAACTGTGCTCCAAAACCATCCAAGGTGGCACCCCTCATTTCTCCACCAGCCATGCTATTTCCTCCCCCTGCCTAAAATCTTCGGCCGCATCGCTTCCTGCGGCCCAAGGCGCCGCGCCTGCACCTAGGATTGACACGAGCGGAGTTGGGTCTGAGATGCTCTGAGGGAACGTGGCCAGTGCCCAGAAACTCAGCACTTTACCACCAAGGGTCCCGACGATTTGGGGCCTTAAAATGGGTCGTTTTTGAGGGCCCCTGAAGGGTCGGGGTTCTGCATTGGAGGGTCCGGGGATCTGCATTGGAGGGGTCATGACCCTTAGGGCACCTAAAAAAGGAAGAAGATCTGATTCCCTGGCCAAAGTGGTGGGTTTACGAAATAAGCCAATCTGACAAGGGCACCCTCAAAAAGACACACCCAAATCCACAACCAATTATATATCTCTTTGGGATCTTCCCGGCTGCCAGCAACCAGCTCCAAAACTCTGCCCGCCTGCCCTCTCCCCACCCCGAAAAGCCGCCGCCAAAGATGTCGCAAAACAAGCATCAGCACACGCCAGGCAAAGGCACGGCAACAAACAATCGCCTCAAGCTTGGCAACGAACAATGACAACACCAAGCATTAATCAAAGAAAGCAAAGTCCAAAGCAGCCCCAACCAACTTGGAACACCTGGTACCAATCGACTCAAGTTGTTCCTTTCGAGGTGCGTATGCGGAAGGAGGCGGCGATAAATTGCGCGGAGGTCTCCACAATGAGCCGGGAGTCGAAGAAGGGCAGATCGTCTTCTCGCCAAGTGGCCTGGCGATCCGCGGAGAATTTCTCGACTGATTTTTGTTGTTTCGCCCATATCTGGGCTCAGATCCCCCGCTAAACGTTTAACTTTGAGTGGATTAAATGGAAACTACCACTAAACACTAAAAGGATCTAAAAGGCTAAGGAACCGAATGGCTAGGAGCCACCAAGATATGTGAACCCCTGGGAACCCCTAGTTTCTGGGTTCATGCGTTCGCTTTGGCTTTCTTGTTGCAAAATCGGTTTTCAAAGGGCTCAACATGGCCATTGGTTCATACATGGACCTAAAGAATCAGCCTTTGAGTGTCTGAGGCCAAGGTGCCTCCCCAATTGTGTGTTCCTTTAAAACCACACAAAAAAGGGATCCTCAACACACACACACACACACACACCTATCACTTGAGAAAAATGCCTGGAGGTGGCTCCATACAAACGTATCTGAGGTTTCTTTTGGTTCATAGTTGGCTTCCCCTTAAAGCCAACCCACAGGCTTTCCCTAAAAAAATGCACCCCATAGGAGCAGCGAGCAAACTATTACTTATATATATAATTATAGATGCTCCCCAAAAGGGTGGTTCTCAAAATTGCATAATACCAACCAAAAGGGGGGCCACCGTTTTGAGCAACTCCCCAAAGGACACGAGACAAAACTGGCAGGTCTTCTCATGCCCTCCCCAACTGACGAATCATTTTGCGAGGGACAAAAAAGCTTTTGTTTCCGGAAACCTCCTTGCTTCATTTCCGGACATCGGTTCATCCCATCAAACGGCTCTGAGAGCTCAGGCTTGGCATCACCGCAGAGGGTCTGCAAAAAACAATTCACTAAACCCTCCCTTTTGCTGTCCGTCTGGTGAAACCCATGCTTCTCAGCAGATTATCAGGCACTGGACCCCAGGTACGGCACTCTAAAACAAACAAAAGGCACCCTTCCAGCCAACAAAAAGCAAAAAGCCGCACTTTGCTTCCAGCCACATAAACGGGAAACCAACGGTGGACGCCAGTTGCCCACTTTGCACTTGATGCACGGCACAACTCTCTCGGCCTCCGCGGGTTGCAGGGCTTTCGCGACCTGGACGACGTCCAGCAATCGAAGCCGTTCCACGTTGCAAGTGACCCGAATCAAGAACTGGGCACCATTACCATTTTTGCCGAGTTGACGGGCCAAAGCTTAAACTTTTTGGGCCTTGCCTAACATCATGAAGAAATCTGCCAACACACAAAATTTAAAGTTTGCCGGCTCAACTAGGGTCGATTCCGCTTTTGGTGGAGAACTGATCCACGTCACCGTGTCAAAGGGGACCAAGTCACAGCGGAAATGTCTCCTTGTCTCACTTGAGTCAATCCAAGAAAGGTCCAAACCAAAAAGCATCAAGATTCCACCAAATTTCTTCTTTCCCGAATTTGGTGGTTTGGTGGTTTGGACGTTAAGGGGGTTCGTCCCCCATTGATCCTCTACAAGAACCCGGGGTTCAAATCCGATACCAAACCACCAACCCAAATCACCAACCTGACGGGTTACCAGAGAATTGGTGGTTCTCCAGTGGAGAGGTTAGAATAAGAGTACCCTTTTTTCTGTAGTCTATTTTAGTAGGGGAACCCTCCCCCAAAATAGAAATGGTGAGAAAGTCTCAGGTCAGCCTTGGTTTGGATTGGAGGTTTCCTGAAAGGATCCCATCCAGGAACCAGAGCTCCAAAACCAAATCCCAACCCTGAAGGGTCTGGCTGGGGAAGCGCACCCTGAAGCGCACCAAAATATTCAAACCAAGGGTCAACCTAGGCAAACCGCATCGCACACTATTTGCTTGAGGCCCTGGAACAAGAATGTAACAAAATCCTTCCGGTGCTGATAGCTTCCCTGTAAAACCCCGCAGGGGAAGAGGGAAGCAACTCTGCGAAGGGGGGTCTTTGATTCCTTTGTTGCGGGGGTCGCCCATTTTCTCACCAGACTCCCCCTGACACACTTACCATTTACAGTGCTTTAGGCTCCTTTTCAAGCAAAACTTCCTTCCTGAGTGGCAAAAAGGGACCTGACTCCGCAAAACGCAAAACGCAGAGTTGACGCCTCCGCGGCATCCTCCAAATCCGCGTTGGAGGTGCCGCCCACCTGCCGGGCGCTGCGTGAAAAATTGGAACCCGAAGGGCACCAAGAGGACAAACAAGGGGAAATAGGAAAACATAGGAACCTTGGTTGACGTTGGAAGGGGAGCCAAAATCTATTTTTTAGCAGTTAAGTGGGGATTTCCCACTAAACTACAATCAGCAAAAATGTAAAATGTTTCCCATCTCAGGTCGGTGCTAAAGGGAATTTAGGGAAGCAACACTTTTTTCACGGGCAAAATTAAGTAAAACCAACTAGGTTTTTCGGTAGAGAGGCTAGAATAAGGGTACCTTTTTTTTCTGTAGTCTGTTTTAGTAGGGGAACCCTCGCCCCAAAAAGTTGGTAAAAGGGCACTAGTGGGGGACCTAGAGTACATAGAACCAAAGACGAACACCTGCATAGCCCTAGCTTTGAAATTTTATGAGCCACACCCAAGTACGCCGGGACTTCGCTTGAATCAAGTCCGCGCTGCCTTTTGTTTGGAATCGTTCTCAACTGACAATGCTGTTGCCTAACTGGACATAGTTTCACACGAATATGTTCCCTTTTTCTGCCGTAGAAATTCGGTGTTTTTGTTGTTGAGCATGTCACACCGCAGAACAGTTACCCCAAGTGAAAGGTTTGAGGAACATGGACCCAGTTTCTGACTTTTGATGGCCCCTGGAAACAGTCGAAACAACATGACAACAGGCCCAGCTCAAAGATCGCAGAAATGGATTTGACATCTTTTCTGGGGGGGGGAACTCTTGTGCTGGTTTTAAAGGGAAGCCACGCGGAATGACAAAGCCCATAGATCACGCGAACAACAAAAGGGTGAAAGTAAGATGGTCCGATTTCACGTCCTCAGGGCTTCAAGCAGTTTGGGATTTGACCAGAGGGAACCCCAACCCATGGTGAGAAGATGGGGTTGTGTTGTCTAGAATTTTGCCGCTTTTGGGTTGTTTAAAGGGGAAACAATGGCAACAAAAGGAACCTAAAATTCCCCCTGCGTTAACGAAATCTGAAAACAACTCTAGCGGTGGGCACTGTTGAAGCCGGTGTTAGGCCAACCTGTTGGCAGGTTGCAAACAACTCGTGTCATATCAACCTCCTCCTGGCTTCCCTGTAAATTCCAAAAGCACCCTGCTTGTTCAAGCCAATTGCGCCCCCTGCAAACCATGTTGCCCACAGGTGCCAGATTGGTGGAAAGAAGGCTAGGGTTTAGGGTTTAGGTACTAGCTTTCAACAAATAGAGCCATATAGACGCAAGTAAAGGCAGGTATTGCAAAACAAATGTCTTCTTAAACTCTTGGCCAGTGGAAACCATCTCCTCCATTTGCTTGCGCCTGGAAAAATATAGTCAAGCAGTGATAGCACATTCAGCACATGGAAGGTCTTAGTGCGATTGGGGGTTGGGTCCCTCCCACCCACGGTTTGGGTCAACTGCCTGCCACCACTTCACCATGGCTCGGGCATGGCGGTGAGACGTGTGCGGTGTTGAGAAACTGGTTTTGGCTAAAACAGAAGACCAAGATGCCTTCCAACGAAAAGCACAACAAGAGGAACACAAAGAAGCAGAAAAACAAAACAACAGTTCAGCAGGCTCTGCTCTGGAAAGCAAATGGCCAGCTGCAAGAGTTCTGAAGCATTGGGCCTCCGCTCACTTGACTTATTCAACCGTTTGCGGTTCATGCACGTCGGGCCCCCACAAGAGCGACTACCTCGAAAGCGCACGGAAGCGGATGCGGCACTCGATTCGCTCCATGCGCCCAACTCAGAGGGCCTCCCTTTGGTGTAAACCAAGGGATTGCCGGGGTCCTTGTTTCACCCGACTACAAGACACCGCCCATCTTCCCCCACTCAGGGGCCTGTCAAAAGGCATCGAATTTACAGGCCCACTTTGCCGAAACAGGCCTCCACTGTTGCCTCCGAGTACTGTCTGAACCCATGTTCGCATCCACCAAACAAAAAAGCTGTACCTGAAGCAAACGGCGCGAACCGTGCCTAGAATTGAGTTGTTTCTTGTTGTCCTTTGTGCATCCAGGCCTCTCTTACTGAACCTGGGTCCCCCGTCTTTTGGCAGGTTGGTGCCTCGTCATGTTTGCAGCGTGACTAGTCGTTCTTTGGCTCTGCCACGAAGGCTACAACTGCCTTATGGCCTCACCTTCTTCAGATCTCCAAACTGGAGAATAAGAACCTCCAACACGGACAGCTCGGGCTTCAAAGCACTGCGTCCTTTGCAAAGCCCAGTGCGCATTCGCGGCTTCATATCTCCGCATTCTAAAAATGCGGCTCTTCACTTTCCTTGCCTTTGCATTTCCGAGGGTTGCCTTTTCTATGTCTGGAGGCAGTCAGCTATTCCCTGGCATGTGGTCGTGTGCTTAAGTGAGGAATCTCAGTCGGGACAATGGTTCTCTCCCACCATTGGGAATCCTTCCCTTGTCAGCGCCGCCCATTTCCATCCACTCTGAGCCAAAACCACCTTTAAAAAACGCGAGTTCCACTTCTTCCCCCGAAGTTGAGCACTTCCCGCATCTGTCGCTTTTTTGGGCACCCCAGTACCCCGAACCCTCAGCCCTCAGGCCCCCCCCGGCGCCGGAATGGCCTCATAGAGCGCGCTCTTCTCCTCCTTGGCCAAGTTGCGAAACCTTGGGACCCGCAAGCAGAGCCCGGAGGTCGTTCTCCCGACAGGGATTGAACCAGACTCCGCAAGACAGTTTGCCTGTTCAAGCAGGAACCCGTTGTCTGGGTCCTCCAGTACAGAAGTTAGAATAAGGGTACCCTTTCTTCGGAAGTCTGTTTTAGTAGGGAACCCGCCCCCAAAAAAGTTAGTAAAAGGGCACCTAGCTGGGGGACCTAGTAACTTTGACCACTCAAGCCGGAAGACATGGCTGGCACGACCTCAGTGCATCGGGGCCAAGACAACTCGGCGCCGTGCTCCTGATGCCACCCTTGGAGACATAGAAAGAACTGCCAGTGGGCTCCAATTGAGTAAGACAAATCATTGGGTGTGTCCTTTTCGCGGGGGTCCAAAATGGTTTGGCTTCCCATTTCTTTTAAACCCACACAGGGTACCTTCAAAACACACACTTACACTTACACTTACACTTACACTTACACCTACACTTACACCTACACTTACACTTACACTTACACTTATACTTGCACCTACACTTACACTTACACTTACACTTGCACTTACACTTGCACTTGCACTTACACTTACACCCACACACACACACTTACACCCACACACACACACACACAATTGGTAAATGTAGACTGCGGCGTCCGTTGGCGAACCTCAGAATGCAAATCCTATGGCGATCTATCTCGCAGAATCCAAGCAGCCCGCCCAAGGTAACATTGGAAAGTAAGCAGGAACTCCAGAAAAGAGATGCCCCAGAACAAGCCTCCGCTGGGTGACCTACTGGCTTCTGTCAGGTGGCCAGACATGTGTCCCTGGCGTGACCCTAACAACATTTCGTGCTGCCTGTCAAAGGGGGACCAAAAGCGGAAGCGGAACTTGACAACTGACAATATCTTGGCCCCTACATCTGGGCACTCCAGAACATAGATGTTCTGACTCACTTGTGGAATAGGTTTTGAGGAGATCAGCGATTGTGAACTATCCCTGAAAACTTGGACAAAACAAACACCTTCCCTGCTCAGAGACTCAGCGCCGAGCTCGTCTATGCAGCAAACCCCCTCATCTGCCATAGACAGAGCGCCAACCTCTGCAACTCGGCCACTGAACTGGACCATCCAACTTGCTCCTTCCATGTGAATGAGCTGCACTAAAACATACCACATATACCCGGAAAATGAATTTCCCTTAAACGCCTGCAGAAAGCTATATGTGCGGTGTAAAGTACTAAGGCAGGCACGTTTCTCGGGATCCAATCTAAACAATTCGGGCCTCTGTGACCACGCCTAATTAGCGCGTGGCTCGACCGGCAGAACCAATTTCCCACATAAAAAGATGGATTTCACTTCTGGCCCAATTCCGGCTTTATCTAATTTCCGCAGCGTCGTCAATCCCGCAGAGCAGCTACAAGTACCTTTTGCGCAAACCACCTTCTCCCCCCGAACTTGTTTAAGCTGAGGTTTGGCCTTCTGGTAGAAGGGACTGGGGAGAGTTTGTCAATCCGACTTTTTGTTTTACTTCATCCGTGGACATGGACTCAATGAATAACTTGCTGGTGCGATAGGCAGGGAATGAGACATGGAATGAACCTTATAAACCATGGCAATGTAAGTATCCAGCCAGCAATTGTTTTCTCTGTTCAAAACCGCAGGTGCCGTCCAAGAGCATCTTGATGGGTCGAGCATGGGAAACAAGCAGTGCTTGGGTGGCGCTACCTCAAAGATTGGTTGTTTCCCTGCGGCTTCCCTTGAAACATCTGCTGGCGTCAGGGAATTTTCGGGGCACGCCCGTGTCGTGCTATCGCACCAAATCGGGCCACGCAGCCTCAGGGTGAAAGGGGACGCTTTTGTGTTGACCCTACAGGGACCTCTTCCTCAAACAAGAGAAAAGGCCAGGGGTGGGCATATCTGCCGCCTCACTTGCACAGCAAGCCTTTCAACCGGCCATGAATCTCCATTGATGCTTCCCAGAACACAAACAAGTTCCTGGACTCCACCCATTTGATCTGCGCCAGTTTGAGTCAGTCTCGCGACTGGTGGCCCGAAGCTTGGCCATCTGCGAGCACGAAGCTATAAGTGGGTCCCATTCAGCAAAGTTTCCAGGATTCTCAAAATTACGCATGGGGGTGGCTTTCCCTTGCAAACTTAGAGGGTAATTTTGAGGATGGCACTTTAAGATGCACCCAGTGGTTGATTTGAGCTCTGTTGCGAGATATGCTGGGCGCCAAATACATCTCCCGCCTCCCCGCGAAAAAGGACACTCACTCGACAAAAATATCGATAGCCAGTTGTACGCTAATTAGCGAACAAAAGCACAACAGCCACTGAGGGGCTGCTCACACATGCTGGGTGCTTGGGGTGAGACAATCCGTGAGCAGCAATGGTGGTGGACGTCATGCTTGCGACGAGGGCCATGTTCTTGGCTGTCGGTGCACGCTGACCAACGTTGAACGCTCGTAAACCACTCAGCAGCCAATGTATAGCTCTGAAACATGCCTCCGCGCGTTTGAAAACCCCCCGCGTATAAGCTTACAACTTCCGAAAGCCTTGGGTATGTCATCGAGCATCGGTCCCTTCAAGGATTGCCTCCCTGGTCGGCATGTTTGTTCTTCAAACCTAGGCTGCTTTCCAGATTGGGTCAAAGGCGGCAAAAGGCGGCACCAGGGTCACAAAGCTGGCCCCGGTATCTAAATAATTATATATACAATATTTCTATCCAAAAAAACAACAACTCCTCAAAGTCACCCCAACAGTGAGATGTCATGGGGAACGGACCCTCCACACCTTGACCCCCCCGGTGTCCGATCTTTGATACCCCCCCAGCCCTCGCCTCCAGCGCCCAACCCGGGCCATCGCGCACACAGGAGAAGGTGAGCCTCGAGAAATTCGGCCCTTCAGGACACACAAAACACCTGTAAGGTGTGGGTGGTGTCCTTTTGGTTTGCCCTTAACACAACAAGCTGGGGGTATAGGAGCTGGCCTAAGCGAAATGAAATGAAGTCGAGCCGTCGACCTGAGTGCTGTGAGCGGACCACGCAAGTAACAAGTGAAAGTGGGTTTCTGTTCCCCTCACACTTGGTTGGACAGTATTCAAGCTTCGGCGGACCCTTCGCGCATCCCCATGTTTTTCATCGTTTGCTTCCGGACAACCTTCCGCGGCGCATGTTACAAGTGCTCCCTGAGAATTTGGGAGAGGAAAGTCACGGGAGGCAACTGAGGAAAGTATTGTTCCGCCTGTGGCGCGTGTGGGCTTGGGCGCCATTGGGCTATTGGTGCCATTGGGCTATGGGCACTTGCCAGACACAGGGCCCTTCCGCGGAGCTTCCGCGAACCTTCCGCGTCCGCCGGCTGTTGTGGCCCTCTTGGCTGGCTCTTGGCAACTGCTCTAGTAAGCGCTGCGCTTCTTGTATGCAGCAACACCTTTCTGCTTCTACTGCAATCGCATCCCTGTGCTTTTCCAGGCACAAAAGCAGAAACTGAGCATATCAAACCATAACACTTCCGCAAACCTTCCCTTCTGCAAAGCCTTCCGCATGCTTCCGCAGGTGTGGCACGTTGCGCCTGTTCAACAATCCTGCCCCTCCCCCAACTACTTCAGCTTGCGGGCAAAAAAGCCGCCGCAAGTGGCGCGTGAAGGAATAAATTCAACATAGATCGCTAGGCACGCGTGCATGCGACATACACATCTGGTGGGTCAAAACCAATGGGATCCCATTTTCTATGTTAGTGGTTCGATTGGTTGATGTCTGGGAGTTAACCCATGATTTTGACCCATGGCCATCTTGCGTTGGGGCCGAGGCCAGAGGCTGAACCGGACGTGAGATATGCGAAGCGAATGGACAGGGTAGATGTGGGATCCTAGGACGGGTTTTGCAGCGAAAGGGACACCACCTGGCTCCGATTTTCAGAAGCACCGAAATCAAGCAACAGAGCCAGTGTCATTGTTCGCTCGCGGGCATCTGTCAAGCAAAAGCAACCCAGAAAGTCGGCGCGATGCCCTATAACCAGGGTCTTTGCCATAGGTGACCTTTGGGAAAACCGATGGCCCTAGAAAATCGAAAAGAACCAAACTAAACCAGTGCCATCCAACCAAACTAACCTTTTTGAACACCACTTTCTACATTCGGAACGGAATTCGGAAGGGGTAGAGAGTGCAGCTCTCATCTTTGGGGCATCCTTCAGCGAGAACTAGCACGACCCCCGACGACACAAATCATGAGCCCGTACCTTTAGATACCTTTAGGTCGCAATGTTTTTTCTCACACTGTGCAGAGGAGCCTAAAAGCAAAGTCGGCTGTTTGTTTGCACATGTGTGAGCAATCTATAGAATCACTGCACTGGGTGAACCAGAGTGCAAGACATTCAGCTCATACAGACTGCCTCTCAGACAATGTCCTTCAATAGGTCACTGCTTTCAGGGCGTCGAGGAAGTAGAGAAACGTGACGTCTTTGCCGTTATCCTTGACGTAGGAGACGACGAGAGAGCCATCCAGGTCGTAGCTGCTTCCAGTCCAGAACTGGCACTCGTCGAACTTGCCCATGATGAACTTCACCTCAGCCGTTCAGTGACCCTGGAAAAAATGGGAACCCTTTTTGGGGAAGACAATTTTAGTGGGGCAGCCACCAAAATGGAGTTGGAAAAAGAATTGGTGCCACTGAACAACTGAGTCACCATCTTAGTGGAGCCCTTCTTGAAGCCGTCCACGCGGTCTGCCTGGTCCTTCGCCAGCTGCTCTCGGGTCTTCACGAGGAATTTCTTCGCCCAGGCCATGAAGTCCTTCCTTGGCTGGAATTAGGACCCCAGCAAAAAAAAATATTTCTTGCCGGTTAGTGGAAAACAAAGGGACCCCAAAAAAGCAAAAAAAGCAAAAAAGCAAAAAGGGGAGCTAACTCTGGGGAAGCTTCTTGGACAGCGCGGCCTCGTTCAGGTTGAACTCATCCACAAGGTTCACCACATCGCGGTCGCCTTTCTTGATGTACTTGCCTTGCACTTCTAAACCGGCGCCATCAAAGATCTCCTTGTGGGGGTAGTCATCAGAGCAGAGTTCGTCACCGCTCAAGCTGTCTTTCCAGACTTTGACCTTCGACATCGTGTCCAGGCTTGGGAAGACTTGCCCTGGAAGACCCCGAAGTTCTGCGTGCCTGCCCCCAGAACCACCACGAGCCCGAGCCCCAACGCGACCGCCAGCGCCACCTTCTTCACACCGGAGCTCGGTGCGACCGGAGCGATCTTCGGCTCTTCCTCGGACTCCAAGTCCTCAATCAAAGGTCCCGCGGCGGCCATGTCGAAAAGAGCAGAGAGCACACGGAAGGAAATCTGAAAGCTGCCTGAGCAAAGTCACGACTTAGCTTTGCTCAACAAATTGCTTCAAACTCACTCAACATTGGCCGCAAAAGTGACTTCTCAAACCACGCATTGGACCTCTAACATGTTGCTCGGTCGTGACAACGTTTGCCAAGCGACCTGAACATTTCTGGAAGCCTCAAGCTCGCAAAGTCTGGCACCACTCAACCTGCCCATTGAGAAACTAAGGAACGACTTTAGGAACAACAATAAAAAAGAAAGAACAGGTTGAACCGCAACTGGCCACTGGATCAAGCGGACAGGAGAAGCAAGGCCAAAAACATGAGCCCGCAAAAGGAAGATCACATTCTCTCAAGACAAGAAAATGTTTAAAGCGAAACGGGACACATGGGAAGCCCTGTGGAAGGGGGCTAATAGCAAGTTCTGCGAATCCCTCGAAATGAAACCACATGCAACATGCGGGATACAAAAATTGCCCGATTTCAACTGCCATCCATTTGGTTTTCTTAAAACAACCAATCTATGCACAAAGGTCGATCACCGGTGTGGAAAAGCCATTTGAGCGTTGGCGTTTCTCGCCGCGGGCCAAGAGGTCCCTTCCGCGGACTTCCGCGGCACATGTTTTCATTGTTTGCTTCCGCACACCTTCCGCGGCGCGTATTTTACCAGATGGGCTTCCGTGAGTAATTATTGGCGAAGGAAAGTCAGTTGAAATAAGGAAGGCAAGTAATGTTCCGCCTGTGTTGGCACAGCGTGTGGACGGGCTCCGTTGGCCTGTTTTGGTTCTGGCTTGATGTTGGCAACTGCTCCTCTAGCAAGCGCTGCGCTTCTGGTCTGCAACACATTTCTGCTTCTGCTGTAATCGGTTCCCTGTGCTTCTCGATGCACACAAACTGAAACAGTTCAGAGAGAAATCCCTTCGAGACAGAAACTGCTTGCGCGCGAGAAAGGCCTTGCCGCATGCTTCCCCGGATTTGGTGCGGTGCACGTTTTCAAGAATCATGCCCGTCTCCCTTTTTGGTTCCTTTCGGCCGCAAGACATGAACATGGCGGGGATTGACCCCCCTGTACGGAAGCTGCAGGAAAAAAACGGCCCATTTTTTGGGCAACGGCATAGGTGGCCTTTTGGAAAAATAGATGGCCCTGGTAAATGAAGTTTAAAACCCATCTAAACCAGTGGAACCCATCTATTTTTAACCAAAGCAACCTAAAAAGGACGCCTATCCCTGGGAAAAATATTTCCAGTAGTGATCGATTCCCTTTAAAACCAACAGGGGGGAAAAACAACTAAAGCAAGTGGAAGGTTTTGAGCGCAGAACTCCGAAGCTCGGCCGCCGCGCCCGGACTTGGTGGCGCCCGAAGCGGAGGTCATCACGCTGTTCGGCGACAACTCGGCGGCCGCCTGAGGCGGGACGAGGGCGGGGGGCGACCCCCCGATCGCTGCTTGCACACTAAAACCGGGGACACCCCCATATAAACAGAGGTATATTAATCGAGGGTCAACATTTTCTGGTTGTGTGAAAGGGAAACCAACAAGTTTCAGCTGGAATACTTTTGCGGGGACTGGTTTATGGCCCCAAAGATGCCGGGGGGGTACAGGGTTCTTGGGGTTGCGTCTAGTCTGGGGAATCAAATTTGAAGACACTCCTGTTTGGACGCAGAGGCAAAGCCCTGGTTCCTTTTTGTCTGGGCCGCGATTTCCGCTGCGCCAATGCTTCCAGCCTATCGCCCCGGTGAGCGGACTGAAGGAACCGTCAAACAGAAAATTCCACCTGGCCACGGAACCCTTCACGGCGGGCTCCGGGCAAGGCTGGCCTCTACCTTGTAAGAAGTTCGTTGAATACAAATCAAAGATTAATGTTTCTTTTTTTTTTTTATTGAGGAACACATGTCCCACACCCCAAAAGACCTTGCGAAAAGGTCAATCATTCGGAATGAGCAAATATGGACCAACGTGGGAAACCGACAGGTCAGATTCGGTCGAGTCGCATTGGCTGCAAAGGAGTTCCATGGAGCTCCAACGGAGCCTCAAATTGTCAAAGCCTTCGGGTTACACATGTCCCTTATCAGCCCCAGGGCGCGGAGCAATTCGGCTGTCTTGACCTTTGGACTTGGGTCCGGGAACCAATCCCCCTTCTCCCCACACTCCACTTAAACGATCCTGGTTTCACCCAAGCCGCCACAGCCGAGAATGGGTTCCCCCAACTCGTGGGACTGTCCGCTAAGCTTCTTTCTAGCTGTTGCTTGTGGCTCATTTGGGGCGTTCGGCATGGAAGCGGTGACATGGTTTCTGCCACCCATGGCGGTGAGACCGGCAAGAAGCCCTCCCAAAAAGGGATGCTCTTTGGTCGCACAGTCTGCGCTTTACGGTGCCCCAAAAAAGGGATCGGGTAAGGGACACCGAAAGGAAACCAATCACTTTGGGTGCCCAAAGTGACCAGCACTTCAGTTCCGCGCGCGCACGTCGCAGCGCAAAGAGCCGACTGCCCTGCTTGCCTTTGAGGCATGCTATCGGGATCCAAGCCGTGCGGGTCAGCCGCAAGGTATTCGAGCTGCCCGTGCTGCCTACACGCTACGTCGCGGCTCTTCTTCCTTGAGTTGTCTTGCAACTCCCCACACTTCCGCTACTTTTCTCTAAGGCCCGGGTAGAAACAATCACAAACTTTGAGAGGTAGATGTATATGGGTCCTCATTAACACTGGGTCCCTGGGTTGTCAAGTCACAACACAGGTGGATCCACAACAGCCGCATCCAAGGCTTACTTCAACTAAAGACGTGGCCAGGTACTGTCACAACCAGGAAATGTGTGATACCTTTACAAGGTGGCTGATTCCAAACCAACAATGACTACATGGCACAGAAAGCAGCAGCGTACAAGAGAGTTTACCACAATCGCAATCACGCATTTAAAGCTGACCCGGGTCTGTTTGTCTGTTCCCATATGGCCTCAAAGATGTAAGAGGGTCAAATCCTCAAACCACGACCCTCCCAAAACCAAAAAGGGAAATTAAAAAGGGTCCCTGCTAGAGGAGAGGGGTCCAACCAAGCGCTTCAAAGGGCGCAGGGTTTGCCGAAATACCGATCCTAAGGGACCCAACATTTCGTGATGTCTGGTCTTTTGCGCTCAAAAACCCTCATGTGTGTCACCATTCACATCCCATTCCATCTTTAATAGAATGGCTTTGTGGAGGACATTATGTTTACAATCCAACATTGAAGAGGTTCTTTGTCTTTCATTTTCTATTTCCATTTCTTCTTTGTGGTTTTCTTCTTTATCATATTTTTAATATACATTTTCTATCTTCTAATAATCCTATAGTTCCCATCCATGGCTTGGTATGTTGCGTGTGGCTAAAAGTCCAACATGCTGGCGAGTACATGTTCCAAAACACCCTGTCGATCGATAAACTTAGTCGAGGCTGCTGTTAGTGATGCCTCAATTGGTCGTAAAACTCTGAGCAACTTAGAGCGACCTCGCAAAGGGCTGCAACAAACACTTCAACCCTCTGAAGGTACTAGACTGCCATACACAATCAACGTCACAATCAGTGGACATGTTCGTTGCGCACTTCCTTGTGGCATAGATAGGGCCCAAACGGCTACGCAACCATGCTCCGTTTCAGCGTTCGGTGGGTCTCTCTGCGGACAGCGACGTGTGCGTTGGTCGAGGCCAAACGGCCGAGGAAAACCGACTCGAAAATTCTCTCTCAACGCCACGCCTCCCCTGGTCTCGGCATGTAACAGATCGCATGCCATGGTCTTTAAGGTCAGGGCCATGTTCATGGTTCCAATTGTCTGTTGAAATCCCCGCAAGTAAGACCGGGCCTTTCTGATCACATGTGAAAGTACGAGTCAGATCGCACGACAATAGAAGCTAACATTTCACATGTGAGCTGGGAGATGCCGTCAGATTTGAGAAGCTCGGAATTCGCCCATCCCCGCTTCCCTTTTGACCAACCCCAGAAAGGCACCCAAATCACACCTAAAAATAGACTTGAGAAAGGCGATTTCCGGTAAACCTTACCCATGTCCCTACCTCCCTTAACCATCGACCCAAACCCTCTCGACCGCGCATGCTCACGTCCTCTCAGAACACTTCACAAAGAGTTTCCTGTTGACCCAAGTCCCTACTTCTCAGCAGCCTGAGTCAAGGCCATGAATCTAATCATAGCGCGTCTTCAGCCTTAGACCAAACGACGCGAGGGCGTCTTGTCTTGCAGCGATGTTGGCACTCGCTCAGGCGTCTTGCAGCTCGAGCTCCTTCTCCAGGGATTTGGACATGTGGAGCCTCGAAGTCGACGCTTTCTTCCGCGAGGCGCGCGGAAGGAGGAAAAGGAGAGGGGGCTCGTCAGTGTTTAATGAAAGCATGCGAAGGACCTGTTGGGCCATTTCAAAGGGAACATCTTCCCAATGAAAAGGACACGTTTCAAAGCGGGAACCTCCCCCCCTAAAAATAGAAAGACACAATGAGACATGCTTCATGGAGAACTTCACTTCCCACTGATCCTTGGGGCAAGCCTCCTCACAGCTCTCACAGGATTTCTTGTTCGTGATGTTTAAACCAGCAACAAGGAAAACGCGCTGCCCCATGTTGGGGCTGGGTGCTGAATATGAGGTCTGGACAAATCAAGTGATTATGGCCACCCTGTCTTGGTGTCCTCTGGGGAAAGTGAAAGATTGTGAAGTCATGTGAAGTCTGTTGAACTATTGAGCATCTAGAAATCAAGAGCTCGGCGAGGAAAAAAACAACACGAAAGCACATGATGGAACAATTCAACCTCGCATGGCGATGTTTGGTCTTAAAGGGAGCTGAAGGCCTCAACGTGGAAATAATTTCTTTGGTGTCCTTTTACAGAAAATCAAATGGGTGGCTCGTCTTTTGAGGCGCGAAGCCCTTTTGGGGGTTTCTTTTTTAAAACCAAAGGGAAGCCACTTGTTTCTCTAAAACTGAACACGTAATACGAAAAGATGAGCCAGTGACTACGGGGGGTCCACACCGCGCTTTAGGCCGCCGCGAGGTGGGCTCCACGGCGAGGCCCGTGGCCTCGTAGCCGGCCAGGCGGTACAAGACCTCCGCGGCCTCGCGAAACGAAGGCCATCCCAAAACCCTTGAAAGAGCCGGGGAAAATGGTGGGTTCTTCAGTGGATCTGGGAGAAAAGTGGGTTCTTCAGTGGATCTGGGAGAAAAGTGGGTTCTTCGGTGGATCTGGGAGAAAAGTGGGTTCTTCAGTGGATCTGGGAGAAAAAGTGGGTTCTTCAGTGGATCTGGGAGAAAAGTGGGTTCTTCAGTTCTGGGAGAAAAAGTGGGTTCTTCAGTGGATCTGGGAGAAAAAGTGGGTTCTTCGGTGGATCTGGGAGAAAAACGTTGGTGATTCAGTAGTGCAAAGTGTGGGATCCGGGGGAAAAGTAATGTTGTTAGGAAGTTCGGGGAAAAGAAGATGTGTGGATTATTTTGGAAATTCAGTAATGTTGGTGATTGGGAAAAACCAGTGAGATCCGGATCCTCAAACCATGTTTCCCATCCCACCGCTAGGATCCGGGTCCATTGGGATCCCCAAACCATTGAGAAAAATGTTGGTTGTTCAGTACTGCAAAGTTTGGGAGGTGGGGAAAGAAGATGGCGATATTTTCTGTCTTGGGAAATTCGGGATCTGGAAAATGCATGATAGTTATTAGGGTGCATGTATCAAGCCTGCCTCCGAATATCAGCTTCCCTCTGAGACTCCCAAGGAATCCATTCCTTGGCTAGTTCAGGCGGTCCTCTGATGAGTGGGTACAATTCCATTGTGGGTAAGCAAATACTTGCAGATGTTTGGTCTACTCTGCATAACGCATACATATATATATATATATAGATATGTCTACATGTTGTATGTATCTATATACATATTCATAAATATAGTATGTATAGTATATATATATATACATCTTGTATATAAAGTGTTGGAGGAGACCCCAGATCCACCCCACCGACCTCTCTCTCGCAAAAGTCGAGCCGGCCTTCCCTCCGCCGGCATGCAAATAGAGCCGGTCGCTGCGCCAAACCTCGCGCACCACCTGCGGTCAGCAGTCACTTCTGCTTACCCATTAAAACTCCAAGCCCTGGGGAAGTTAATCTTTTACAGACATATAGCCCATGTTGCCCAAAAAGTTGAAAAGTTGTGTTTTTAAGAGGTAAGTCTGCCTCAATCCAACCAATTAGCCTCTATGTCTGAGGTTAAAGCCGGCCAAAATTTATGTAACCCCTGTTTATAGAGGCTAAGTTTTGGATGCTACTCTTGGTTGCTGTTGGCTCTTGTTGACCCAAGTAGCAGACCAAGCGAACCTCCCCCCCCAAATCACTGTAAGCTATTTAAGGCTGACCAGCTGAACTGACTGGCCAAAGCAAACAATTGAGCTTCACAATGATGAAGAAACCTGCCAACTAAGAGTTTAAAGTTTGCCAACTCAACTACCAAGACTTGGTCGCTGTTGACACTCTGTAATAATTGATAATTGTTAACTTTATGTGGATAATGGAACATCCCTACCATTTTGCAACCAGCAAGTCTAAGTCCAAAGATCCTTTTCCAAATAGCCATAAAGTAATATGCCCTCTTTTCATATCACCCCATGAGAATCTCCATCAAAGTTGGCCTTTCAAACTTGTTGATCCTTAGCAATGAGGGAACTACTCTAGGTTCGTTCCCAAAACTGAGCACCGGCAAGCAACAGGTAATTAATGCTTAACGGCAGTTGAGCTGGTTTTACCCAGGTCTGGTCCAATTTGCCCAGGTCAATGCTGTAAAACATGATGGGACCGCTGAATGCTTAGAGCCAAACTGAAACTCGGGGAATCTACAGCGCAAGCACTGTTTAAGAAAACACTGGATAAGCAATTGAGGGGTTGGAGCCGGAGTTAAAACCATTCTGTTGCATTAGGGCCAGATTGTGTTTACAAAGTCGGTGACCCCTTTTTGCATTCCTCTCCGAATTGAGTCAAGCTACGCAAGCGATCTGCCCGCCTGATTGGGGAGGGACAACAGCAGCACTGGTTTCGGTCAGATTCGAATCTCTGATGGCAGCTTGCAGTAGCTCTTGTTCTTCTGCAGCCGTTCTGCAGCTGCAGTTGATCAACATATTTCGAAGAAATTGGTATGTGGTCTTCTTGCGGCTTTTCGTTTTGAGAGGAACGTCAACACTCGCTCAGACAGCAGGTGTTTGAGCGTATTCAGCGACTCAATTTTGCTCATAACAGACTCGAGGACGCCTGCACCGCTCAAGTCTCTCGGTGCAGTTGCTGCGCTTGCATCCATACCGCGCAGACACGAAATGATTTCCCCAGACTGACGGGCATTTGCAACTTCGCCCCAGAACGGAGATGAACTCAATTTCCTGACCTCGCTTCAGCAACACAGAACTGAAGCGAGGAAGCAGCGAGCGAAGACGCAGCGCACACGTTCTCAACATTGAGAGGCGGGGGACGGGGGTGTCGCGCTGTAGTCTTGTGCCCGTTGGGGTCGGGCATGCTGTCTCTCAGCAGAGCCGTCGGTGTCTGAAGAATCCGCTCTGCCGTCATCTCCGGCTTCAGTCCTAAGCCCAAGTCAAACAGGGCTCTTTTTCGCGAGATGCTTGGCACCACAATGCACCACAGCATCCCCACAGCAAAGATTCAAATGCTTCGCTTCACAGACCAATTCGTCCAATTTGTAGCTTCAGCTTCCTTCAGCGTGGTCGAGTTGGTCTCCTCGTTGTGGTTTTCCACTATGCAACGTAAGCCGGGAGTGTGCTGACTGTGCTCTTGTTCCTCTTGAAGCTTGCGGGGCATCAACAGTACTTCCCGTTTAACGCAAAAGGGGTTCCTCCGCAGAAAACAAAAACAAACACATAAATCCGTCGCCCTGCCCCGAACCTCCTGCAAAAATGACAGGCACTTGCTGAACCATGGCCATGAACCATAAACCCCCAACAAGCACAAGAACGACCAAGTAGATCCTTCACCCTCCCCAAAGAAGGCGCCCGCCCCCAACAAAAACTCGCGAGGAGGCCTCGGCGAGCTCCCTCACGGCGGCTCCTTAGGGCTCCCTAAGGGTTTTGTTTCCTAATTTTTTTGGGGATAGGGAAACCCACAAAACAAAAACCCCCCTCCCCCACAACCCTCCCCCCCCCCCCCAACCCCCCCCCCCCCCCCGCCTGCTCCGCCAGGCCCAGCAGCTTCCGGCCCAGACTCCTGCGGCGCCAGGCCGGCGCCACGCAGAAGTTCTGAAGGTACGGCTGGGCCTCGGACGTACGACTCTGGGACTCGGAGACGACCCTCCAACCAACGGTGGAAGTGAGTCATCAAAACCTGGCAACTAAAATGGTCGTAATCCCAGAACCATGCTTCAAGAACTGAGGCGGATATCCGCAGCTATGGCTGGGATGGTCCCTAACCTTCACTTACCCGAATCGGTTTTGAGCACGTGGCTCAAGTGCAAAAAGGCTCTTTCCAAGAGGAAAGTCGTCTTTCTACAGTCTGCGCACAAACCCATGGAATCGCTGGTGGGAGGGTATGGCGATGCGGCTTGGACGGATGGAGCCGGGGGGGGGGGGGGTCTGGTGGCGAATTTGTTGAAAAAAATGAAACTGGTTGCTTGGAAGGCGCCGAGAAAACCCTTGGAGAAAGAAGCCAACAAAAAGCCAACTCCGGCCTTGCTCCCCTTTTGGCTGCCCTTTTGATACAAACCATCCGCGTCTTTGCCCCTAGTGTTGCCTTTATTCTAATTAAACGATAAGACGTGTGTGTTTTGTGTGCATTGATTCTGATTGATTCGGATTGGGTTTTGGGGCGTCCCTTCAGGGCGCTTGGGGCCCGTTCCGGGCCCTCGAGTTTTCGCCAGTCGCTTGGATCCAAATGCCGCGTTCTTCGTGCCACACAAACATGTTTAGACTCGACATGTTTAGACCAAATCCCCCCAAACCTTTGGAGCAAAACCAAGGCGTTCGCACAATGCTCCTGTGGTTTCGGAAGGGCTTCTGGCACCAAGGGGTGGCCCTTGCGCATGCCAGAATTTCTTTAAACATCGGTTTTGGGTTTCGATTTTAGGGCGGATACCAGTTGTTCTCACCCTGACATTTATCAAACACAGGAAAAAAACACAGCAACAAAAAACACGGAAGTTACAATAAGTTACATGGTGTTCATTTTTCACTACCGAAGTTTAGGGGTCAAGGAACCAAGAGCAGCAACTCCGAGACAGCCACAAGCCCAGGCGATGAAGCAAAACAAGGGGAGCACGCGGGTACCGTTCGGGGATCAATCTTCTGTAGCTTAGTTTTTGAGGTTGATGCAGAGCCCTTAGCCTGAAAATGCTAAGTGAATCAATCCCAACGGCCTGCAAACAACCGAACTCGCCAGGACTTTTGCGGTTGGGGATATTTGAGAACGCCCAAACCCTCTCCAATAAAAAACTGGGCTGCCCTCAGATCCCCGGCTAAAGGTGAATACCTTTTAGTGGGTAAAATGGAAACTACCACTAAGAGCTAAAAAGCTAAAAGGCTAAGGAACCGCATGGCTGGGAGCCAAGAAAAGGGAAGCTCCAGAGGCGTCCTTAGCCCTGTGCTCAGGGGCCAGCTAGGCCCAAGGCCTGCTGAAAGACCCACATCCGAGCTCACGAGTTGCTTGCGGGCTGTGACAGGAGACCTTGAACGGGGAGGCCTGTTTCTTTCTTCTTTTTGGGAGGGGGGGCAACTTGGCGTACCTGGCAACTCGGAAAGGGAGGCCCCTGGACAACTTGAGTGAAGGTCCCGAAGAAATTGGACAGCTGTACATTACAGATTGATTCCAGCTCGAATAGGAAGCCAAGAGAGACACCCTCCAAAAAGAAAAACAACTTACCTACGGTGGTGACTGGGGTCTACTACCTCACCGACCCAGGTTCGTACCCTCCGTGCCAGTCCGCCCGTCTGGCCCCGTCTGGTCCGGGCCCCCACGTTCGGCGACTTGTTAAAGACCATCAACCTCAGACAAAAAAAAAACCACTTGGCAACATATCTTCTAGGGGTGACTGAAAGTGAACGCTGGGAGGGGCTGTTTTTGGGTTTTGCTGCGCTCTTTTTAGACTGACCATGGGGGGGGGGGATTTCGAGGATGTCAATTGAACCTACCCTTAACCTTCTCTAGCTGGTGGCTAACGTGGACATATGGTTCCTAGTGAATTGTTACAACAGGGTTGACCCGCAGGAGTACATGACAGTAGCACTTGAGTCAGGAAAGGGACAAATTCATGTGGACCCCCGAGTAATCAACCCCATGCTAATTAATTGGGGGTTGTTCTGCTCCAAATGTGATCATTCCCCACTAAGCCCAGGTACACCCCCCAATTAATAAACAGGGGTTGATTAATAGGGTGTCAACATTTGGTGTCTTCCCACGGTACCCGTGGCCTGCTTCGAAAGCAAGCCAAAGCAACCCATGAGAGCGATCCCCCACTTTGGACAAATATTCCTTCGCATTCTTCAGTTTGCCGCCTAAGTGAGGGGCGTCACTGAAGAGAGCCACTGGAGTGAGGTGGACACCCACCAAATATTTGAGAGATCGGAGCGATCAACTTGGAGGATGAGATTGGGTCCAGCTTGTGTCTGTTTAATTAAGCGTGTGTTTCTCTTCTGTCAACTTCTTGGGGGCCAAAACTGGCCCCATTGTTTTACCATGATCAAAGTCACCCCAGAATTGAGGGGGGTTAAAGGCAAACAACCCCATCTTCTGACTTTCAGAACCCCCGGAACCAGTCAAAATAATGAACCCAGCAACATGCAGTGGTTCACCCCGAATTCCCGGCCAAGGCACAGGGTCGACAGCATGTCATCTGGCGGCCGCCCGTCGGGGGGCAAAACGGAGAGCCTCGCTCAGCCGATGATCCCATTGGCAGGGCCCAGTGGGGTGGGGTGGGGTGGGGTGGGGTAATGGGGTGGATGAGGTGAAAAAACCAAGGCACTGGTGTTGGGAAACCACAAAGGATGGGTTTTCTCGAGGTCAACGTGTGGCTCGTGTTTTGAAAACGCGGGGGCCCTTTGGCAAGGTTGGAAATCTGAAGGAACACCCACCCATTTCGGGGGGTACCCACCCATTTCGGGGGTACCCACCCGTTTCGGGGGTACCCCAATTTTGCCACACAACAAGTTTCAATTGTGGGCGGTTCAATCATGTTATGCTGGCCTGGGTTGAAGACTGCATCGGCTAAGAACTTTTCTCAGTTGAATCATGGCGGGCCATGTGGCGCCCTCATTTAATCAACTGTCCTTTAAATAGCTAAACGGTACACGGTGGACTGGCGTCCGACTACCTCCGGTTGCCGCACACGAGTTTTTGGTCAGCGGATGCCCTAGCCAAGGGAGCATCTAGCAAGGGAGGCCCCAGTTCTACTTCCCAAACTAAAATGATGCCTTACCATAGCTTCCAACACATTAAAAAATGACCGTTGTTACAAAGCACAATGTCCCAGGAACAACTGGGCCTAGGACAGAATTCATCGCGGAGTGCAAGGTGCAACTAATCTGTGCAGTGGATCGCTTGCGAACTTATCTGTGCAGCCCATGCCTTGACATCTACTTCGGGTTTGCCAGTACCGGCCAAACGATGCCGCAAGTGGCGTGATGTTTGATCCAAACGGATTGGTTTAAAGATTCAAGAGCCGGATACTTGTCTTAACAAATGGGGCCCATGTACCTTCTCTACCAAGGCCAGTGCTTCAAAGCCAGTTCCCACCAATAAAAAAACCACTAAGGGGTACCAGAAAAAAAAGGCGGTACCCTGACTTCCATTTGCCTTTTCGCCCCCTGGAAAAAATGAGAAAATATGTCCAGCTGTGAAATCGATTCCCTTTAACACCAGAAGAAAATAAAACACATATTCACCCAATAAACTGAAACTCCTGACAGCCCTTACCTTGGTTGACGTTGGAAGGGGAGCAAAAAATTAAATCTTAGCAGTTCAGTGGATTTGGATTTCAACCACTAAACCACAATAAGCAAAAATGTAAAATGTTCCCCAACGACCATGTTATCAGGGGTACTTTCATTTCAGCCACTGGACGCTGACAAAACACCCGCGTGCTTCGTGAGCCGAGGCCCTGACTCGCAGAAGGCCACGGCCTCCTGATCGCCGTTCCCTGCGCGCGAGGCGCGACCGGTGGAATACGCCGGTAGCCACCAGGCACGCGCAACTGAGGTCACGTTGTGCCTTAAAGCTGATGTTTCTAAAGCAGCCGACCTATCTCAGCTTTTGCAACCCAAACCGAAACATGTTTGATTCTGGCCAGGTTGACTTCAACATGTAAAGTAAGTTCACACAAAATGGCAGAAATAAGAAAATGCAAAACCCAGGAAAAGAGAAAGAAAGGGGCTGGTAATATGTTACAGTCAGGTTGAAATGTTTGACAACCTGTCATAAGTCGGCAGGTCGTACGTCACTTCGAGGGGGGCCTGGCCTTGACGAGTGTCAAAGGGAAGTTGAAGGTACCTGGCCCTTTTGGACTCAAATAGGGCGACCCTCCCAAACATGGGTGGTGTCATGTTGGTTTCCCTTTAAGCCAACCAGTCTTTGAGCGACAGCCAAATACAGGACGCCCATTTGTTGTTTCCCATGGAACCTACTTGGCTTGTGAGATTAGAAAACGCAACATGGTAGCAATCGCTGGGACGAAATGGATGTTGGTATGGCAGTTGAATGAAAGCAAGCTCACGGAGTCGGCGTTCGACCCATTCCGTGCGCCCGTACGCAGGCTCCGTTTTGGGGTCCATGATCTTGGGGCGCCAAGTTGTTAACCATTCACCCATGGTGAACATGCACCCTGTACAGAAATGGAACCAAAGATTAAGACCTGCATACCCCATTTGGCTAGTCTTTCAGGGAAGCCAGTCCAAACCCTTCTTGTCAAGGGCTTGTCCCCTTTTTCCAAAAATGACACCAACTTTCGAAAGGGACGCCCTTTGAAAATTGCCCTTCCCTTTTCGGAAACCCTTCCTTTTTCCAAAGGAATACAGCTCCCCCTAGAGGGTATTGGCGGTTTAGGGGGTAAAGGGGGTAGCTTCCCATTTGAAACTTGCCCTCCAGAACCAGGGCTTGAAATCCCACTCGAAACCGCCAATCCGAGCCACCAAAATGTTACTACCATGTCCCTGCAGGACTGCGATCGGCAGCTCCTTAGCTCCCTCTTAAGGAAACTTGGATACCCCCCGGCTCCTGGGCTTCCAACCACCTAGCACCCAGGTGACTTGGGTGTGGCTCAGAATTAAACAGGAGGGGTTCTGCATGTTTTGGTCCATGTGTCCACTTGCCGGAGATCCATTTTGGTACCGGTTTTTTGAGCCACAGCCACTTGAGGAAACCCCTTCCCGTTTAAAAAAAAAGTTGGGCGCCCTGTGCACTACACGGCGCCATGTTGGCGCAACCAAAAGCGCCGTAGCAGCCGACCTCTTCGGGCCACCAGCAGCAGTGCCAGCGATTCGCCCTGAAGCGAATCGAAGGCTCGGGGCGTTTTTTTACAAAGAGGAAACCATCGGATGTGTTTCTTGTTGCTTTTTCAGCAAAACCCAACAGATTTCCAGTTTAAGTCTATGAACTACTGAGGGAGGGACATGGGGAACTCACAAACATTCTACCACAATATCCGACGGACTCTCTAGTTTATCTGTACGGTTGGGCCCAGTCCTTGAAGTTCCCACTAAATTTAGTGGGAAACAAAGAAAGTGGAACCACCATGCGGAAAATGCAAGCGGCTATCTGGGATCCGCCTTGCACTTGGGGTTGCTTTGAATGAATGGAAAGCAAATAAACAACCATATACAGGACAACCATATCTCCCCACAATGTCCGCGGAGATAGCCTCAACTGCATCTCCATGTGCTGCGCAAACTCACAACAGCAACACCAATGCTTTGGTCAGTTGCGTCAAGAGCAGAATGATCCATCGGCAGTCTGAGAAAACTCTCGCGCCGTGCCCTCCTTCTAAAATACTTGGCACTGAACATTTGTCTTTGAGATGCCCCCGCCAAGTGGAACTTTAAGAGCATGACACCACTGCCATTTACGCATCAAAGTGTGTGTCTCTGTGTGTGTGTGCGCGTGGGCGCGTGTGCGCGCGCACGCGGGCGGGCGGGCGGGCGTGCGGGAGTGCCTGCGTGCGTGCGTGCGTGCGTGCGACCGTGCGTGGGTGGGTGGGTGGGTGGGTGGGTGGGTGGGTGGGTGTGTGTCTGTTCGTGTGAGATTGTGTGTGGTGCGTTGGTGTGTTTGCGTGTCTGCGTGTGTCTGTGTTTCTGGTTTGTGTGTGTGTGTGTGTATGTCTGTCTGTGTGCGCGTGTTTGTTGCTAGTGCCGCCACAGGGCGCCTGGTCGTTTTGCGGCGTTTCAGCTGTTTTTTTGTCATTCCACGCCGCAGAGGGGGGGGGGGTTGGGTAATAAGCACACGCGTTCACTGCGCCATGAGAATAAATTCATGCATATTTTTATCGTGTTGAGCACACGCGTTTACTGCGCCGCATGAGAATAAATTCATGCATCTCGGCCTTGTGTCGGCTTTTTTTTGTCGTGTTGTCAAAGAGGTTTCCGGTTGCATCGCTGGCTCTCAGGGAGTGTTCAGCAATGTACAATCCTCGTCTTTGCTTGTCTTCCGTGTTGCTTTTGCGCATTGCTAAAGTACCTCCGCCAAGCCGCTCACCGGCTGTATTGTCTGCTTGGCGTGCGTACCCTTTTTTCCTTGATCAGCGCATTGATGTCTTTGCTGCTGTTTCGGTGTCAGATCCAGCTTTGGCTTTTGTAATTGGTGGTTCTGCGATGCCTGACCGTTCTCGAATTGACTTTCGTGCGCTGTGTGATGATCAGCACGTTCTGTGGTCTTCGTGGGTCTCTTATGTCTCGCAATCTAGCTGAAAAAAGGGCCCCAAACGTGGTGCGATCTGATTTGCTCAATGTTTGCAGCGCACAGCCCAAATGGAGCCCAAATGGAGATGATGTCAAATGTTCTCTCTAAAAAAACCTTAGTTTGGGGGAATTCTAAAACCACAGTTTTCCATTGAGAAAAGCTGAAATCATTGACAGGCGCCATGAAATCAAGAAGGGTGAACCTTGAAAATCACCAGGCGCCTCATGGCGTGTTTGTTTGTTCGTGTGTAGTGTGTTGTTTTTCTTGTGCCTTGCTTGTTTGGTTGCTTGCTAGTTTGTGTCTTTGCTTTGATTTGTGTGTTTGTGCTTGTGGTTGTGATTGTGTGTGTGTGTGTTTGTGTCTGTGTTTGTCTGTGTGTTTGTTTGTTTGTTTGTTGGTTGGTTGATTGGTTGGTTGGCTGGCTGTCTGTTTGTGCTTGCTATTTTGTTTTGTTTGAATGTTTGTGCGTAGTTTGTGTAGTTTGTGTGCGTGTGTGCGTGTTTAGTTTGTGTGTGATTGTATTTTGGTTTGTTTGTTTGTTTGTTTTTGTTTGTTTGATTGTTTGTTTGTTTGCTTGTTTGTTTATTTGTGTGTGTTTGTGTGTTTGTTTGTTTGTTTGTTTGTTTGTTTGTTTGTTTGTTTGTTTGTTTGTTTGTTTGTTTGTTTGTTTGTTTGTTTGTTTGTTTGTTTGTTTGTTCTTTTTGTTTGCCTGCGTGGTTGTGTGTGTGGTTGTCTGTGCTTGTGTGCGCGTGTGCGTCTCTGTGTGTGTGCGCGCGTGTGTGTGTGTGTGTGTGTGTGTGTGTGTGTGTGTGTGTGTGTGTGTGTGTGTGTGTGTGTGTGTGTGTGTGTGTGTGTGTGTGTGTGAAGCGTCCTGGAGCACGGACGGAAATTCCACATTGCAGGGGGACTGGAGCCGATTTGCCTATCCAGTCCAATGAAGCTACGGCATTTCGGTGGATACCGGATCTGATCAATCCGGCGTACCTGCCTATTTCCTGACCCTCTTTCCTGATTCCTTTTGCGGTTTCTGTTTGTCGCTGTTGCTTCCTGTTCGGTGTCGATGTTGTGACCTGTTGATTTGCGTTTGCATTCAAGCATTTTTACTGACTGCGTTTTTCATCTCGGCTAGTGAAGCCTCTCGAGATAAGTGTGTTTACCCACGGCCTGTCCGACATGGCGCTGTGGGCTGGACTCGCCACATGCGGGAGCCCCCTGCGAGGGGAAGACCGTTCAAGTGTTCAAATTCAAGCTGCAGTTCAGCGCGTTTGACCACGATCAAGGCTGCAGCTTGAGGTCTTAAGGTATTCCGCACCCAAATGGTGCTCTGCTGGTTTCATGCGCGTTGCACTGCCTGCACTGCCTGCCTTTGAAGCAAGGCTGCACCCACGAGGTTTCAGGTTCCTAAGCTTCATGCGCCAGTGACGAGTTGGTCATACACCAACTCTGCAATTCGTGGTGTTTATGGAAGCTTTCGTCTCGGATGAGTTCAGTTCAGATTCATCGGCATAGCCACATGAGGCACTTTCATGAGGCCACTTGACAGGCACCTCTGAGAACCCCTTTGTGCTCGCATGCATTTGCACCATTGACGCATTTTTGCTCGCATGCATTTGCACCATTGACGCATTTTTGCCGCAGTTGTGGTTTTGTTTCACCCCTTTCCAACCTTCTCTCTCCCTTGCGAGATGGCTGGACACCAGCTCTATGACATGATGCATTCGCTCCTGCACAGCATTGCGACCGGCACCGCGTCCGGCTCACCAGGCAATTGTGGACCGAACTTGCAGCTGTCATCCCAGATGACGCAGCCCATGAACCTTGTACCGTCACCCAACTCGCAGACGGCATCCTTCACACCTTTCCCCATGATGCCCTACGGCGGCCTCTCGAACTTTGGCAACCCGATGGCCATGATGCCCTACGGTGGCCCTCCCAATTACGGCAACTTGGCACCTGGCACCATCATGCCTTTCATGACTCAGAGCAGCATGCCATCTTCACTGCCCGAGCCTCAGCCGGCGCGCGCGCCCGAAGCTGCCGCTGCGGCTCCTGCCGCTACCTCCTCAACCAACCACCCTCCCCCGGACACTCGGCACCATCCCCACTCTCGCAGATCCCGTTCCCGCCACAGACAGCACCGACACTCCCACTCCCACACCAGCCACCATCGCAGGCACAACAAGTCGCACCGACGACACGACACCCGACGATCCCGCAGCTACAGCAGGTCACGTTCCCTTTCCCGACACTTCCACCACTCCCGACGTGCACACCACTCCACTGTCTCCCTCCGCTCCCGCTCCCCCCGACACAGGTCCCACCATCGACACTCCCCTGCACCCAGAGCCACGACTTCGCACCGACCCACTCACACTACTCATGATTCCACCTCCTGGCGCACTTCCGGGAAGGACTCCTGGCGCACTTCCGGGAAGGATTCCAACAAGTCTCAATGGTCCTCCTCACACTGGCGGAACCAATCGTGGGGATACCCACCACAGAACAAAAACCGCTGGGACATGCACCACCATGGCGCCAGCCACACCGGCCACCGAAACAACCAGGACAAACGATCGTCCTGGTCACTGCAGCACCATGGGCAGCAACCCCACCCCACTTCCCGCACCGGCCACCACAACACTAGCTTGCCCCCTCACCCAGCACCTGCGGCGGCCTTCACTTCCACTCCCCCTCCCCCTCCCCGACCCACGCCGGCTACTCCTCACCCTCCCCAACCCCCCTTCGACAACACCGGTGATTTGGATCCCCCTCCATCGGAGGCGGACATCAATGCCACCACCACTTCCGACAACCGGTGGCTTGATCTATGGAGAAACGTCATGGACACGGCCAAGACTGACCCGCTGCGAGTTCCCACGCCTAGGGAGTTGGGGGAGCTGGACCCGCTTCCAGCCTTGGACATCTCCAGGGTGGAACAGACTAAGGCCATTTTGATGGACCTGGACCCTGCTTTGCCACCTTCACATGCCGATCTCCTCGCGGAATGCTGGGAACTGCGAACCATGGACACGGATGATCCCATACCGTTCGATCCCAGCTTCTACCACCTCTTGGGACGGGAATCACACGGCATGGTGTTCGCAACCACTTGGTTTCCCCGACCTCATCCTTGGCCAGTTGCTGGCGGAGACCCGGAAGCTGGATCCGGCACGGCCTCCCATCACGCTGTCATGTATGTGCACGGCACCACCCCGGATCGAGTGCGCCGCATGTGCCATGAGAACATGATCCGACCCGCTGCTTGGAGGCCCGAGAACCATGACTACCCGAGCTTTGGATGCTACGCTCAGGCCACCCCCACGGCATGCACGCCCGACACGCTCGGCCAGCTCTTGCAGAACTTTACAATCGGAAAGTCTCAACTCGGCGCCATCGCTTTTGGGGAACTACGCTCCATCAATCAGCACAAAATCCTCGAATCCGGGGGAAGCCACGAGGATCAACACAACGTGCGGCGCCACTTCGCATGCCGCCGAGGCAAAAAGTGGTGCCTTCACTCCAAGTTTGCGATGCTGAGAGGCATCGCGCTGCAGCGCCCGGCTTAGCGGGGCGCAAGTGTACCATCTTCCA